ATTTGCAGTTATCTATTTCTACTTTTTTACACTGCCGATTGGTCTAGACAAAGACCTCTATCTTGTTTGAGTTGACATAGCAGAAATGAATTTCGATTACTTATAAATCAAACATAAAACTACTGACCAAAGTTTTCAAATGATCGCTGATTGTTTATTTATTTTTATCATGTCTATTGACAGTAATGAAAAAGACAGAGAATTACGAACATGGGTCATTCCGGTTTAAAATATCCGAAAACGGGAGATTTTATACTAAGCGGGAGCGAACTGGCAAGCTATGTGGGAGATTTTCTGAATTTCACCGTTTGAGTGGGAGTCTCGTGCTCAAAACAGGGAATAAGAATAAGAATAAGAATATTTATTGAATCCAATTAAAGGGCGCGTTTCAAAGCATATACATATATATATATAGTATTAATTATACAGTAATTTTTTAGATATATTACATTAAAAATAAATGATTAAATAACTATACTCCATACCAGATGGGGTTTGAAAATAAATAAAATAGAATATTAACCCTCTCTAATACATAAAAATAAATAATAAATAAACAGGGAGTAATCCAAATAATTTTGACGTCTTGAAAGGCTATTTTAATTTTTTGCTGTGACACCTTCCTGCCACGTCATAGGAAGGCATCAAGGGTACCATGATTTCCTGAGAACTCCCAAGAGCTGAATATTGACCTGAGAACCGATAGATATTACCCGAAAACTTTATTTATATGGTGTCATACTGCTTTAACAGATGTTAAAAAGTGCAATTTTACTTCAGGAATTCGACTTGTATGACATGTAATAAAAAAACAAACATAAAGAAACACATGCACCAAAATAACAACATAACATGTCATAATTCAATTAATATGTTGATATTGACTCAAGTGCACCAGGTAAGTGTACTATTAAGGGAATACGATACAGTAGCAGGGGCAGATAATAATGTTTTCAAAACTTTTCGTGTTGTTCTCGCGACGTTGTTAATCAGAACGTTGTAATTTCACGAAGTTTCTAATAAAAACGATTACATTTCGCGTCGTCGAGTTACATTTGCGGAAAACATTTGTAGTCACATTTGCGGAAAATCCGCTGACGTCATAAATCCGGTTGCGCGAATTTGAAACAAAGTACCTGCTAAGAAAATCGGCCATATCACGAGAAAATTGTTATATTTACAAAATGTATTCATTAATAATGATGTCAACAGTATTAACTTGAAATGTGAAAAAAAATCAAACCACAATCATAATTATGTCTTTGTTTTATTTCATATAGGAAATGAATAAAAGATATGTAAATAATAATACGTCGATGAGACAGAAACCCAATTACACACAAAGCCCAATAAGTAATTTAGGCATCAACGTACTGTCTTGATCAATTATAGTATCTACACTATTTGGTAAACTCTAAATCGTATGGAAAATTGTACGGATAAATTTAACAGAGACTATCAACAAAATGACAAAATAGCATGATAAATAAAGACAACGCCCCATACTGTTCCTGACACTAAAAAGTTTAACGGTATTTTTAGAATTCAACCAGTGAAATATATATATGTATATGTGTATGAAAAAGAACTGTCAGTTAAACACAGTTATAAGCCCCGTATTATAGACGGAATGACGGACAAACAGACAGGAGTAAAACAATACCCCCCCCCCCCCGCAACGGAATGGGGGGGGGGGGGGGTATAGAAATACCATGAAGACAAGCTTACGCAACTTATCTATTGATACAGAATAATGCAATTTCATGCTCTAATACCGACTGCTGTACTTCCTATGAAATGTTAAACTACACCGTAGTGGACTATATTGAGACAATTACGACATGAATTTGCTCGAAACTGCTCTAAATATTCACTTTTTAAACATGTTCAGAGTAGTTCTAAGCTGACCCGAGGTAATGTGGGTATGGTTTTGTGTTTATATAATGCCTATATAGTAGGCCGTTAGTTTTCTTGTTTAAATTTATCACATTTTTATGTCGGGGCTTTTTAAAGCTGACTTAACAGTGTGGCTTCTTTTTGTTGAAGGCCGTACGGTGTCCTTTAATTTCGTTTATCTTCGTAATTTGAAATATGGTTGATAGTTGTTCTCATTGTCAATGATACCAACTGTCCTTATCTTTATAGTATCCCACTTACTTTATAATATTGTTTCATATTTTGTCATGTCGGGGCTTTTTGAATAATTAAAATTATGCCCAAGCTGTGTTGTCTATATGAGTTGACGGACTAATGTCGGACAGAGATGCAAATTTTTTTTTTTATCAGATTTATCTTTTTTGTTTCCGCACCTTTCTTTTCTAAAAGTATTTACTTTTTGTATCCAAGTTTCGTAACAATTCATAAAGGTTTGGCAAATATGTTATGCTATTTTACGAGTAACCAACTTTGAAATTTTGATGATTAATACATTGTATCATTGCTTTCGAAAAAAAATCTTGGCTATACCACTGAACTTGACAGCGTAATCGTGAATGGCGGGAATGATTTCACGACGTTATTGCGATTAAAACTTATTTCAACGTAGTTTAGCGCCCTATTGGCAACCTATTGGTTTGTCATTACAAAATCAAGGTTTATTGCTTTTATTGAAAAAACAAGCACATGGACCCCCAGTTTTTTCTTTTGCAATCAATCAAATAATGTTTAAAGAACGCTCCGCCAAAATTTTAAGAAAAAATCAACGATCGAATTTTTTCTGCACTTCTGAATAGACGCAAAAATATTGTCAATTTCTTTATTTCACTAATAGTAATGTAAATTCATAAAATAATTATTTGGTTTAACTTTAAACTTGTCACAGAATTGTCATGCCATGGATCAAGGGAACATTTTACAAAAAACCCCGTTAAGTTATGACTGTTCGTTCAAAAGTATTGTAACTTTCCTTAAAAGTCCTTTTTTATGAAATTTCAGGGTTTTCCCTTCAAATATGCAAATTTCGAACCAAATTATCTCAAAAAGTAAGTCGTGAAGGTATATTTTTCTTCGCATATTTCAAAAGTACACATCGAAATTGACCTTCTACCAAAATTTCAAGAAAAAATCAACGAGGGATCTCTACTGTATCGTATGCCCTTAAATAAACAGATGGCTTAAGTTGTTTGTGCCTTCATATGGAGAAACTCAGAAAACACCCACACATTGAACTATGAGGTATACTGCGAATAACTGAATAATTTTAGCAAAATGATTATTCAATTTCATTAAAAAGCTGATTATAACGGCTTTGAACTAACGTTTCTTTGATTTATTGCATTAAAAACGTATTCCTTTTCTACTCGCTCGTCAATTTTTTTCTTATGATAATAACTAGACAAATGCATGGCTCAGATGACTGGAGAATAATAAGCCCAAAAGTGAAAAATACAAATTCAGCGCTGATAATGGCATGGTAAAACCAAACATTATAATGCCATGAGCGAACAAGCACTTTTCTTTTTACATCTCAAGACTTCTCCCTACAGTCAGGGGTACTACTTGTACAAGTAATCTTTATTTACTTGAAGAAGTAAAAAAATATACTTATACAAGTTAATTATAATGTTTGAATAATCTCCCCTTAATTTTCTGAAAAATTCACTTGTATAAGTAAATTTTTTTCTCAAGTTTTGACATGTATAAACATGCCTTTAATGATTTTTCCCAGGTTAGCTCATAATTTTTGATTAGAGTTCAATGTTTCATCTCATTAATTCAACAAAGAAACTGATTGCGCAAAGATCTTAAGTATTTGTGCAAGGCCTTCAAAAATTGCTCCTTGGGGGCTTGTAAATGAGCAGTGTTCTGAAGATAACAGACAAATGAGATTTTCATTGTCCATGAAATTACACTTAAATGATTAGTTAAGACATCTGCAAAGGACAGACAATTTAAAATTCTATTAGAGCAAAGACGTCCTAAGAATTCAAGAAAAGAAGATAGGATGACTTTTTCACTTATATAAAAAAATCTGAATGTCTAAGGGACATAACTAAGCCAATTTTTTTTTTACCTATACAAGTAAATAAAATACATTTTTATAAGTATCCTACAAATTTACTTATATAAGTATATTAATATTACTTCTTCAAGGAAATAAAAATTACTTGTACAAGTAGTACCCCTGACTGCCCTATCAGTTTCAAAAAGAGAGTCACTTCTCCCTATGATTATTCACTATTTTTTTGAGTGCCCTTTTCACAACGAAGCAAGAGAAATATTGTTTTTAAAATTAGAAAAGTATATCCATTGAGCTTCTATTGGCTGGTGACGGTGACCTTTCTTTTCAGCAAAACAAAGAAATTTTTGAGTCTGTACAAGCATATATCAGAATAACATAAAGATTTAAAACAATCAATTAACATTCTGAATTCCTACTTTCCAACTCTTCACTCCAGTCCAGTTTATATATTATTCCATATTATATTGTATTTTTTGGTTTTTTTTTTGTTTTTTGTTTTTTGTTTTTTTTTTTTGTATGCAGTTTGTATTTATACATGCATTCCTACTATGTTTTTCGTCATTATCTAATGTACTTTGTGTTTATATTTATATAGGGAGAGGACGTCACTAATGTTGTTATAACTTGTGTCCAATCCCTTTTGCTACTTTTGCAAATAAAATATGTTTAAACTAAACCCTATGATTCTTAAGTAGTGTAAAGTCAATTGTCAATAGTCTTTTCTGAATTTGATCAATATAGTCTTCTGTCAGGTGTAATTCGTTTACAGAAGAATGAAAACTAGTTGCAAAAACATTCACATTGGTGTCAATTGCCTTTGCAGGTCTTTCAATCTTTGATTCATACTTTCATTAGTACTATACATAAGGCAAGTCAACAATATTTGATATGTAAATTTGATATTTGTCTTGGGCATAATGCTCATTTTCATGTAATTGGTTAGGTAGCTCAAATTATAATACATGAACAGTTACATTCAGCCTTGACCTTGGTTTCAGAGTTCATTTCTTTTTATGACTTACTTTTTTATGTTTTACAGTTTTGTTACCATGGAGACAGCTTCTTGTGTTAAGCATGTCATAATGGCTGCCAACCAATATAAAAACAGTAAAACAGATGGTAATTTGGTATATCTACAGAGGCAGTTAGAGGTAAATATGACAAAGAAGGAAATGTAGTATGGTATCCAATGAGACAACTGTCCAACAAAGATCATCTTAACCTCATTTTCATGTTACAGTGTACAAGTTTAACATTTTTTTATTAGGTCTGTATCTCAAATTATGCATAATTCTTCAATGAACGTATAAACCCTTTGAGACCCTCTTTGAGACCCACTTTGCAATTTATACAAAAAGGTATTCTCAATTATTTGATTTAAATATATTTTATCCTTAAGAGATTTTTCCATGTTGAATTGTTGTATTTTGATGAAAAATTGTCAAATTGTTATCCATTCTTATCATTGATTTCTTCAGGATAGACATACATGTATAAATCACTTTTTTCATCATGCGAAGTCGTCCTTTTCACACTTTGTTAAAATGCAACTCCCTGAAAATGACAGATCTTGCACAGATTCTTCTACAAGACATGAAGTAATGAAGCTGCTAATTTTTATGTTTGATTGTAGCATCTTCTATTTTAGTTTTTGACATGAGTGATTTTTGGGGTTTTCCATTCCAAAACATGGACTTTGCCATTTCTGCCTATATCATTTGAGGACATAAAAAAACTCTTCCTTAAAAGACTCACACAATTTTTGAAGGAAATAATGATTTTCTGAGGTTTCATTCCAGATGAATTATGCGATATTTTTATTTTTCCATTTAATTTCAGATTCTGGTTGGTAGTTTATCATCAAGAACCTCGACATTGAAATTTTTTAACCTGAGGAATTTATTGCCTGTAGAATGTTTAAATGCTGTCATGGATATTCTTAGAGAATCAAGAGATATAAAGCCAGGTCTACTCTCCAAATGCATCTCTCTGTTTCAACATCTAGGTACATAGACTCTTAATTTAGATATTCTGAGAGAATTAAGGGATATAAAGCCAGGTCTACTCTCCAAATGTATCACTCTGTTTCAACATCTAGGTACATCATGTACATAGACTCTTAATTTAGATATTCTGAGAGAATTAAGGGATATAAAGCCAGGTCTACTCTCCAAATGTATCACTCTGTTTCAACATCTAGGTACATCATGTACATAGACTCTTAATTTAGATATTCTGAGAGAATTAAGGGATATAAAGCCAGGTCTACTCTCCAAATGTATCACTCTGTTTCAACATCTAGGTACATCATGTACATAGACTCTTAATTTAGATATTCTGAGAGAATCAAGGGATATAAAGCCAGGTCTACTCTCCAAATGTATCGCTCTGTTTCAGCATCTAGGTACATAGACTCTAATTCCTATCATACAGACTTTCAAATTATGTGATATTTGTTCAAACAGCCAATACTTTACTGCAAAAGTGGTAAAAACTGTATTGTAAATGATTTCTTACTTGAAGGGGCTCGTTGTTCTATACTTTTATGGGGGAAAATTGAGTTTATTACAGTTGCTATCAAAGTTTTACTTAATGTTTCTATCTTAATCCAGAAATATATATTTCTTTACACAATTTTTAAACAAAATATGAAGTAGTGTGCATTGTTTTGTATATTTATTTGGTTTCGTTAAGAGTTATCTCATAGTTATGCAGTAAAAATTTGCCAATGAGACAACTACATACCAGAGACCAAATGATGTGGATGTTAGCAAATATTGGTCTCTGTACAGCCTTCAACAATGAATAAAATCCATACCGTATAGTAAAGGCCCCTGCATGACAAAATATAAACCAATTCAAAGGAGAAACCAATGGCCTGATTTATGTAAAAACAATAAAGGAAATATATATATGAAAGACAGCAACCAAATCCAACTAATGAATTACAGGCTCCTGACTTGGGACATGCACATAAAGAATGTGTGAGTTAAACATGTTTACAAGCTCTCAATCCTAACTCTAACCTTTGACTCCTGACTTGGGACAGACACATAAAGAATGTGTGGGTTAAACATGTTTTCAAGCTCTTAATCCTCACTCTAACCTTTGACTCCTGACTTGGGACAGACACATAAAGAATGTGTGGGTTAAACATGTTTGCAAGCTCTCAATCCTCACTCTAACCTTTGACTCCTGACTTGGGACAGACACACAAAGAATGTGTGGGTTAAACATGTTTGTAAACTCTCAATCCTCACTCTAACCTTTGACTCCTGACTTGGGACAGACACACAAAGAATGTGTGGGTTAAACATGTTTGTAAACTCTCAATCCTCACTCCAACCTTTGACTCCTGACTTGGGACAGACACATAAAGAATGTGTGGGTTAAACATGTTTACAAGCTCTCAATCCTAACTCTAACCTTTGACTCCTGACTTGGGACAGACACACAAAGAATGTGTGGGTTAAACATGTTTGTAAACTCTCAATCCTCACTCTAACCTTTGACTCCTGACTTGGGACAGACACATAAAGAATGTGTGGGTTAAACATGTTTGTAAACTCTCAATCCTCACTCCAACCTTTGACTCCTGACTTGGGACAGACACATAAAGAATGTGTGGGTTAAACATGTTTACAAGCTCTCAATCCTAACTCTAACCTTTGACTCCTGACTTGGGACAGACACATAAAGAATGTGTGGGTTAAACATGTTTGTAAACTCTCAATCCTCACTCTAACCTTTGACTCCTGACTTGGGACTGACACACAAAGAATGTGTGAGTTAAACATGTTTGTAAACTCTCAATCCTCACTCTAACCTTTGACTCCTGCCTTGGGACAGACACACAAAGAATGTGTGGGTTAAACATGTTTGTAAACTCTCAATCCTCACTCTAACCTTTGACTCCTGACTTGGGACAGACACATAAAGAATGTGTGGGTTAAACATGTTTACAAGCTCTCAATCCTCACTCTAACCTTTGACTCCTGACTTGGGACAGACACATAAAGAATGTGTGGGTTAAACATGTTTGTAAACTCTCAATCCTCACTCCAACCTTTGACTCCTGACTTGGGACAGACACATAAAGAATGTGTGGGTTAAACATGTTTACAAGCTCTCAATCCTAACTCTAACCTTTGACTCCTGACTTGGGACAGACACATAAAGAATGTGTGGGTTAAACATGTTTACAAGCTCTCAATCCTCACTCTAACCTTTGACTCCTGACTTGGGACAGGCACATAAAGAACGTGTGGGTTAAACATGTTTGTAAACTCTCAATCCTCACTCCAACCTTTGACTCCTGACTTGGGACAGACACATTAAGAATGTGTGGGTTAAACATGTTTACAAGCTCTCAATCCTCACTCTAACCTTTGACTCCTGACTTGGGACAGACACATAAAGAATGTGTGGGTTAAACATGTTTACAAGCTCTCAATCCTCTAACCTTTGACTCCTGACTTGGGACAGACACATAAAGAATGTGTGGGTTAAACATGTTTGTAAACTCTCAATCCTCACTCTAACCTTTGACTCCTGACTTGGGACAGACACATAAAGAATGTGTGGGTTAAACATGTTTGTAAACTCTCAATCCTCACTCCAACCTTTGACTCCTGACTTGGGACAGACACATAAAGAATGTGTGGGTTAAACATGTTTACAAGCTCTCAATCCTCTAACCTTTGACTCCTGACTTGGGACAGACACATAAAGAATGTGTGGGTTAAACATGTTTACAAGCTCTCAATCCTCTAACCTTTGACTCCTGACTTGGGACAGACACAGAAAGAATGTTCGGGTTAAACATGTTTGTAAACTCTCAATCCTCACTCTAACCTTTGACTCCTGACTTGGGACAGACACATAAAGAATGTGTGGGTTAAACATGTTTGTAAACTCTCAATCCTCACTCCAACCTTTGACTCCTGACTTGGGACAGACACATAAAGAATGTGTGGGTTAAACATGTTTACAAGCTCTCAATCCTCACTCTAACCTTTGACTCCTGACTTGGGACAGACACACAAAGAATGTGTGGGTTAAACATGTTTACAAGCTCTCAATCCTCTAACCTTTGACTCCTGACTTGGGACAGACACATAAAGAATGTGTGGGTTAAACATGTTTACAAGCTCTCAATCCTAACTCTAACCTTTGACTCCTGACTTGGGACAGGCACATAAAGAATGTGTGGGTTAAACATGTTTTCAAGCTCTCAATCCTCACTCTAACCTTTGACTCCTGACTTGGGACAGACACATAAAGAATGTGTGGGTTAAACATGTTTACAAGCTCTCAATCCTCACTCTAACCTTTGACAGTGGTATTTCACAGTTTGTCATGTCAGGACCTTATAACTGACTATAAGGTATGGGTTGAGCTTGTTGTTGTAGGCTGTATGGTGACCTCTAGCTGTTTACATTCACACCAGTTGGACTCTGGTGGATAGTATTATTGGCAATTATATCACATCTACTTCTTTTTATATTAAAAGCGCAAGCACAACAAAAGAACAAACTCTCAATAGCATTTAAAAAATGACTTAACTCACAAATGAGTATGAAGGATAAAAAATAACTAGCATAAAATCAAAAGACAAAAATAACTGATCTACGAGTATTTGCAGTTACCTTAAACTATTTCAAATCCAATAACAACTAATGAATAAAGCATGTTCTCCAACACTAATGTATTAATCAGTACACATCCAACAGATCTAGCATGAAATAGTCATAAACAGTCTGTGAAAGGCACAATCTTGTATAATGCATAAGTTTTCATAACTATATATTTATGATTTCACAGCTCAAGACAGTGAAATAAGAGATGCCTTCCATGATTCCTTTCACCTTACACAGTGTTTAGCTACCGTCATAAAAACACATGCTGGAGTACCAGGGGACCATCTCACAGTGGAGGTAAGCTAATGTCATAAAAACACATGCTGGAGTACCAGGGGACCATCTCACAGTGGAGATAAGCTACTGTCATAAGAACACAGGCTGGCATACCAGAGGACCATCTCACAGTGGAGGTAAGCTACAGTCATAAAAACACATGCTGGAGTACCAAGGGACCATCTCAAAGTGGACGTAAGCTACTGTCATAAAAATACACACTGGAGTACCAGGGGACCATCTCACAGTGGAGGTAAGTGACTGTCATAAAAACACAGGCTGGAGTACCAGGGGACAATCTCACAGTAGAAGTAAGCGACTGTAATAAAAACACAGGCTGGAGTACCAGGGGACCATCTCACAGTGGAGGTAAGCGACTGTCATAAAAACATAGGCTGGAGTACCAGGGGACCCTCTCACAGTGGAGGTAAGCTACTGTCATAAGAACACAGGCTGGCATACCAGGGAACCATCTCACAGTGGAAGTAAGCTACTGTCATAAAAACACAGGCTGGAGTACCAGGGGACAATCTCACAGTGGAGGTAAGCTACTGTCATAAAAACACATGCTGGAGTAACGGGACCATCTGATAGTGGAGGTAAGCTACTGTCATAAGAACATAGGCTGGCATACCAGGGGACCATCTCACAGTGGAGGAAAGCTACAGTCATAAAACACAGTCTGGAGTACCAGGGGACCATCTCACAGTGGAGGTAAGCTACTGTCATAAAAACATAGGCTGGAGTACCAGGGGACCCTCTCACAGTGGAGGTAAGCAACTGTCATAAAAACACAGGCTGGAGTACCAGGGGACCATCTCACAGTGGAGGTAAGCTATTGTAATACAATACAGGCTGAAGTACCAGGGGACCATCTCAAAGTGGAGGTAAGCTACAATCATAGAAAACACAGGCTGGAGTACCAGGGGACAATCTCACAGTGGAGGTAAGCTACTGTCATAAAAACACATGCTGGAGTACCAGGGGACCATCTGATAGTGGAGGTAAGCTACTGTTACAAAAACACATGCTGGAGTAGCAGGGGACCATCCCACAGTGGAGGTAAGCTACAGTCATGAATAACAGACACTGGAGTACCAGGGGACAATCTCACAGTGGAGGCAAGCTACTGTTACAAAAACACATACTGGAGTAGCAGGGGACCATTTCACAGTGGAGATAAGCTACTGTCGTAAAAACACATGCTGGAGTACCAGGGGACCCTCTCACAGTGGATATTAGCTATTTTCATAAAAATCCAAGCTGAAAAAACAGGCGACCTTTTCATACAGGATGTATGCTTATTTTGATATGGGAAAATTTGTCATTTATAGGAAGGAACTAATTTTTTTTTCAGAAACTGATTAATACTTTACTAAAGATTACTGTAATAGGGACACAAAATAAATTTCCAGTTTAGCTTTATTGACAGGTTTATATCTTATTTTTTCAGATATTGAATGTTTTACAGAGGATAACATATGGACACAAGATAAATTTCCAGTTTAGTTTTATTGACAGGTTTATATCTTATTTTTTCAGATATTGAATGTTTTACAGAGGATAACGTATGGACACAAGATAATTTTCCAGGACAGTTATGTTGAAGATTTGTTACATTTTGTTTTGAAAAATATGTAAGTGAGATAGAAAACAGATTTGTAACCTCAGAAATAATAGTTCATTTATTTGAGGACAAATTATGTCACAGAATTTTAGTGCCTTTATTTTTTGAAACAAGTATTCCTTGGTATTTTTCAGACCCTTCGTTGATTTGAGAACAAATAATGTTGCAGAATTTTAGTACCTTTATTTATGCTGCTTTGCAACCTTTTTATAGCATTCATTGACATTACATTCAGAACAAACTCATTTACCAAATTTATATTGCCTTAATTTTAGTTTCTAGACAAATTGTTTGATACAAGTATTCCTTGGGTTTTATTTTCCTGAACAAACCCAGTAACAGAATTAATATGACCCTTATTTTAGTTTCTAAACATACAAGTATTCATTGGGTTTTATTTCCAGAACAAGCCCAGTTACAGAATTAATATGACCATTATTTTAGTTTCTAGACATACAAGTATTCCTTGGGTTTTATTTTCCTGAACAAACCCAGTAACAGAATTAATATGACCCTTATTTTAGTTTCTAAACATACAAGTATTCATTGGGTTTTATTTCCAGAACAAGCCCAGTTACAGAATTAATATGACCATTATTTTAGTTTCTAGACATACAAGTATTCCTTGGGTTTTATTTTCCTGAACAAACCCAGTAACAGAATTAATATGACCCTTATTTTAGTTTCTAAACATACAAGTATTCCTTGGGTTTTATTTTCCAGAACAAACCCAGTTACAGAATTAATATGACCCTTATTTTAGTTTCTAGACATACAAGTATTCCTTGGGTTTTATTTTCTTGAACAAACAAAGTCACAGAATTAATATGACCCTCATTTTAGTTTCTAGACATACAAGTATTCCTTGGGTTTTATTTTCGTGAACAAACCCAGTTACAAAATTAATATGACCCTTATTTTAGTTTCTAGACATACAAGTATTCCTTGGGTTTTATTTCCAGAACAAACCCAGTTACAGAATTTACTTTACCCTGCCTAGGATTACTGGTCAATCTTTGTAAAGATAACTTTGCCACACAGTCTTATATTAAAAACATGGTAAGTAGTATCCCAAGCTTAAATACTCAATGTTCTAACTTTACAGAAAGCTTTCCACTGTATTACATGTTTAAAATCTCTAATTTCAAGGTATGACTCGGTTTTAAATCTCTGTTCTAATATGACTTTCTTCAAAGCTTTGAGTACACATATTGTATGTCAGCTTATCTGCAATGTCATGATTTGTTTGGGCTGTTCCAATCGTACTCCCACGTTGTATGCTTTTTATGAATGAGCTACCCGAGGTAAATTTGTGTAAATCAGGTCATTAAACTGTGGCATAAGAACAAAAGCATTGTACGGGAAATCGATATCTTTAGGTCTTTAATATTTATTTGCGGTTTGCATACACAAATGCTTGACAGAAGCCATCGATACACATCCAACCTGCTTCATTGACAGTGTCATTTTGATGAAACAAGGTTCAGTTCTTTCTTTTCTGACAGAAACACACACAGTAATAACATATTTATAATCACGTTTCGTTGTATTTTACGTCAATATTTATAGTGCATTCAATTACGGGAACAGCATTTATTTGCCTTCATCTATCGTGTTTTCATCCAAAATAATTGCTGTCTTTGTCCTATTAGAATAGAAATAATTCATGGGGGCTTACATTTATTTTGATTTTAGCATTTATGCTGATACTTTTCCCCTTGCTATCACTCATGGTGAAATATTTAGCATAAAGGGCCAGCCTGTGGTAAAATCAAGATAAATTCAAGCCCGCCATGAATTATTTCTTAAGTTTCAAGGTGTGAATGTGTTTAAAATGACCTGGAAATCAACAGGAGAGTATTACATGTTTAATAGGTAGGTTTAAATTCTTCATGTAGAATTAGTATCTACATACCTACATCTGCAAGTATTGAACACCATGGGAAAAATAAAGCAAACATTGACATCATAGTAGTCTTTATACACACTGCATATTGTTATGTGAAACAGACTTCACTGAATTAAAAATAATTACCATTTAAGGTTTCATATCTCAAAGTCAAAAGTTTATTAAAAAGATTTTTTTTGGAAATTGTAACTTAATTATCCACTTTTATATGGTTTTAAATAAATGTTACTATGTACTTTCATTTTAGGATGGATCAAGGAATTTGTACAAGACCTTGATGTCATATTTAGATGACCAGAACTTAACAATGATGATATTTACATTGTCGTGTATATCATATTTGTGTTTACACCAGGACATAGGACAAAATGTACGTATTCTTTAAATGATGTCTCTGAACATATGACTGATCACATGCATCAATATGTTCATAGAAAAGATAGAAATTGACGAACTTTTTCTACCAAGTAACTGTCTTGATTAAATTCATACTTAATCTTTTTTTATCAGCAGACAACATGCTTTGAAAATCAATATGAAAAAATAGTAAAACTGATTTTATGACATAAGACATCGATATTATTCAGGAGAAACATATCTCTGGTTCGAAATTGAAATTGTTCTATGTTAGAATTTCTTACTTTTGTTGTTTGTTTTGTAGCTGTTTAATCCAAAAAATGTAAAGTGGACATTTCAATTGATGTTTAATATTGTATTAAATGGAGACACAGGGACTACTAGACAGTATGCTGTTGATCTGTTTGCAGATTTACTCAAAAATCAAAATATTCAGCAGTCTCTTGTAGAGTAAGTACTCCTAACTCATGGATTCACAAATTGCAATATTCAGCCGTCTCTTTTTGAGTAAGAGTTAGTACTAACATTGATCAATCACTTGTTTAGTAAGTAAGGGAATATTCATAACTCATTGATTTTTATTAATGTTTTTATTATTGCAAACCTGATACTCTCACATTTATTGCATTTATGTTATGTATTTCTTACTCTGATTAAAAAATGCTGTTTATTTGTTCTGAGATGAAAAGTGAACAGGTCGGCTATCACCACTTGAGAAATTATAATCATAGGACATAAGGAGTACAGTCATACGTGTATAAAGCAGTTACTCATGGGAAGTATCAAAAGTGACTGCTCAAGAGAGGTGACCGACTATGCTTTTGGCTGGGATCTCGGGAAATTGTTTTAGTGTTTTCAATCGGTAGAGTTATCTATCTTGCCTGGAGTGAAATAAAAAATGACGGATTCCAGTGCTGTAAATATGATGAAAACACTCAAAATATGTAAATATTCGTGGAGAAATAAGTCGGTGATGCGGTTTTCAATTGAAACTGAAGAGTGGAACAAGAGAAATTCAGGAATTCACCTATTGTTCAATCTCCATTGCAAATGGGTTTTGATTTTTTTGACTTCGATACTGAACACATATTTTTTGTTGTGATAATATTGGTAGTTAAAAACATTAAAATTACTGTTTTTTAAAAGTTGAAATGTTGATACTGTGCGAAAATAAGGTGACCACTGACCAAATTAGACAGGTGACCAGTGAAAAGAGTGAAATTATATAGAGAAAATGTTTAGGAGGGTCTTTATGTGACTGTTAGAGCAGGTGACTGCTGAAATAAGGTGGCAGTTAAGATAGGTTTTGACTGTATATATCAATGAAACAGCATAGTATTTGTGTATAATTTCCATATGACCCTAGTTACTTTTGAGAACAGAAAAGGCCAGAAATTAAGAATATCGTTAAGAATGTCTGGAAAAATAACTGTAATTAGAAATACAAGTTACTGAATAATTTTATGATTTCTTCAGATTTGAGAAGTTGAGTTCTAGTATAGAAAAAGTTCTAAATTTGGTAGCTACCAGTACTGCAGAGTCAGTTGTAAAGGTAAGATCAATATATATAAAATCATCAAATAGCTACCAGTACTGCAGAGTCAGTTGTAAAGGTAAGATCAAAATATATATAAAATCATCAAATAGCTACCAGTACTGCAGAGTCAGTTGTAAAGGTAAGATCAATATATATAAAATCATCAAATAGCTACCAGTACTGCAGAGTCAGTTGTAAAGGTAAGATCAATATATATAAAATCATCAAATAGCTACCAGTACTGCAGAGTCTGTTGTAAAGGTAAGATCAATATATATAAAATCATCAAATAGCTACCAGTACTGCAGAGTCTGTTGTAAAGGTAAGATCAATATATATAAAATCATCAAATAGCTACCAGTACTGCAGAGTCTGTTGTAAAGGTAAGATCAATATATATAAAATCAGCAAATCTATTGAAATCAAAATCATTTATTGGTTTTAATTCTAAATACATGAGAAAATCTATGCAATTTGAACCTTAGAGAATGACTTCTGTAATATTCCATTAAAAGTCAGCCAAAGTTAATTATATTTTCTATATATTTTAGATATTTGAACTTCTGTCCTTGTGTGCTGTGGAAGGCATTAGAAAAAATATTTGTAAATGTATTATATATGCTTCTGTAGTAACACACATGTAAGTTAGGCCAAGGCTAATTATATTTATGCCCCCGCTACAAAATGTAGAGGGGCATATTAATTTACCCCTGTCTGTCCGTTCGTCCGTTCCTCCGTCCATCAAGATTAGGATACATTGTTTGTCGGGCTATCTCTTCCTACAGTTTTGGAGGTACAACTTTGATATTTTGTATGATGTTCATACACATAATGAAGGTGTGCATGGCCACAGGATTTTGATTTTTTTTCAAATACAGTCGAACCTCGTTGTTTCGAAGTCGAAGGGACCGGACCAAAGTATTCGACACATCCGAGGTTCGACTCATCCGAGGTCGCATGTGTCGTCATAAATTTGGAATGAATGAAATATGATATGAGATTTGTGTAAACTAGATACAATGAACAGTGTACCTTTTTTCGATATGACACTTTATGATTGTGTATTCAATCTCCATTTTTTGGTCCTTCATAATAATTAAACACACAAGTACAGATACAAATCATTCACAAATAAAATTAATAGTCTACACAAATATTTACAAAGGTCAGTCACTATAAATTATAAAATCACTTGCGGAACGAATTAAGTTATGAACGGTCTCTGATGAGCCAGAGGTCGTCTGCTTTACATTAAATAATCATGAATTAATCATCATTGTCCTAATCCTTTTATTTATTGTAATTAATGAGTTTTAAATCTAATGATTCATTTAATCTCGGCTTGGGTCATTTAAATTCGTTTTGTTTTTATCTGATGTGAAAAATGTTCAACACAATAAAATTCCGCTTGAACGATCAGCAAAGGTGTTAATTACTGGTCACCATAAACATGTCATTTTTACTGTTATACAAACAAGTATGTTTTTTCAGCTTTAATCTCTTTTGAAAATGATTAGGTTACATAAGAAATACACCCGATTTGAATTTTTATCATTAGGTCTGCATCTTTTGAAAATTCTTACTTTCGAACTTTGAGTCATCGGGGTCAATTTACATGAATTTTACATCGACGGGACTATAAAATTTACTCTACTTAACCGAGTATTTGAATCAACCGAGTTCGACTCATCAGAGGTATTTAAGCTTTGATCAAACAGGAATTTTACTGGGACCGAGAAATTACTTCGACTCATCCGAGTTTTCGACACAACAAGGTTGGACTGTATTCTGAAAATGACAGGTAGTTGGACTCAGTCATTTTTTTGGTACTAGCTGGATAAAGAGATCATGGTTTGTCCGGCTATCTCCTCCTACAGTTTTGGAGGTACAGCTTTAATATTTTGTAGGATGTTCATACACATAATGGAGGTGTGCATGACCACAGGATTTTGATTTCTTTTAAATATTCTGAAAATGATAGATAGTTGGACTTAGTCATTTTTTTGGTACAAGCTGCATAAAGAGATCATGGTTTGTCTGGCTATTTTCTCTTACAGTTTTGGAGATACAGCTTTAAAATTTTGTAGGATGTTCAAACACATAATGGAGGTGTGCATGGCCACAGGATTTTGATTTGTTTATGCCCCCGCCGTAGCAGAGGGGGCATTAAGTTTTACCCTTTTCCGTTCGTACGTCCGTCCGTACGTCCCAAAGTTATTTTCCGTTCACGAACTTTAGTTTTCCTCAACCAAATGTTATGAAACTTATTCACAATGCTTATTACCACAAAACACAGATCAAGTATGAATTTTGGTGGCGTCACTTAACCGTTCTAGAGTTATGCCCCTTTACAAATGGAAAAATTGCTGAACTTTTTGTTTCCGTTCTCTAACTTAAGTTAGCCTCAACCAAATGTTATGAAACTTATACACAATGCATATTACCACAAAATACAGATCAAGATTGATTTTTGGTGGTGTCACTTTTACTGTTCTAGAGTTATGCCCCTTTACAAAAGGAAAAATTGCTGAATTTTTTGTTTCCGTTCTCTAACTTAAGTTTGCCTCAACCAAATGTTATTAAACTGATACACAATACTTATTACTACAAAACTCAGATCAAAAACAAATTTGGGTAGCTTCACTTTTACCGTTCTTCAGTTATGTCCCTTTATAACTTTATATGATATGCAAGCGGGGGCATCATCTGTGTCCCATGGACACATTCCCCATTTATTTTCAAATATTCTGAAAAATGACAGGTACTTGGACTTAGTCATTTTTTTTGGTCAGGCGGGGGCATCATTTGTGTCTTACAGACAGCGTAACAATTTCAAGTTATATGGCAACATCACTGGTTGTCAAATCTAAAATATTTGGAACTATACTCATGCATATGGCAGAGCAGAAAGGGGGGGGCATTGTCCATATCTAGTTTCTATATATTTTTAATAGATATTTGAACTTCTCCTGTCCCTCTCTGCTGTAGAAGACACTAGACCAATAATATGTCATAGTATTTTATATGTTTCAGTAGGAACATCAGTCTATCCATGGTTAATTATATTTCTATATATTTTAGATATTTGAACTTCTCCTGTCCCTGTCTGCTGTAGAAGGCATTAGACCAATAATATGTCATAGTATTTTATATGTTTCAGTAGGACCACTAGTCAATCAATGGTTAATTATATTTCTATATATTTTAGATATTTGAACTTCTCCTGTCCCTGTCTGCTGTAGAAGGCATACGACCAATAATTTGTCGTTGTATTTTATCGACATGTTCTGTACAACAAAGAGATCACTATGCTGAATTGGCACAGACACCTGTCACTCAGATCAAAGAACCACTGTTTGCTGTTGTTCACTGGGCATCACAACCAGCCGAGTCACATGATCAGGCATCATTATATGCTATCGACTTTTTATCTGAATTTTATGAGGTATGTCTTCTACTGTATAGCAATTTATTGTCACTTTTAGAAGTAGTCAAATTATTAGTAGTCAAACTATTTTGAATATTAGTTACTAGAGAAAACGGATGTGAAAGATTTGTAAATACATGAAAAGTTTTTGTGTACATATTAGAATGAATGGACAAAAAAGCTTGACTTAAATTTAATGACTTAGTATGTTCATATACAAGAAGTTGACATAGTATTAATTAGGATATTAGCACAAGTAGGTAGAAATTAGACTATTTCTTCTGGTTTGTTAATATTTAAGTTTTTATTTACTCCATTACAAAGTTCCTGTCTGCCTGTAAAGATCTCATGTAACCATTAGCCCTGTAAATTAATGTTTTTTATTATGAGGAAATGATCAACTGTAATACAATAATACATGCAGATCTATGCATGGATCCACTACTATAAGAATTTGTCAATAATAAGTTTTTGTTTTAGGAAATGATTTACTCCTATACAAGGATCCAGTACTCTGCTCATGCAGTCCTTGTTTTACCATATGCCCTATAGGTTAATGTTTTTTCCTATTATTTTTAGGAAATGATTTACTCCAATTAAAGAATCCAGTACTCTGCTCATGCAGACCTTGTTTAACCATATGCCATATAGGTTAATGTTTTTTCTTATTATTTTTAGGAAATGATTTACTCCAATAAAAGAATCCAGTACTCTGCTCATGCAGACCTTGTTTTACCATATGCCCTATAGGTTAATGTTTTTTCCTATTATTTTTAGGAAATGATTTACTCCAATAAAAGAATCCAGTACTCTGCTCATGCAGACCTTGTTTTACCATATGCCCTATAGGTTAATGTTTTTTCCTATTATTTTTAGGAAATGATTTACTCCAATAAAAGAATCCAGTACTCTGCTCATGCAGACCTTGTTTTACCATATGCCCTATAGGTTAATGTTTTTTCCTATTATTTTTAGGAAATGATTTACTCCAATAAAAGAATCCAGTACTCTGCTCATGCAGACCTTGTTTCACCATTTGTTCTGCAGGTTAATGTTTTTTTCTTATTATTTCTAGGAAATGATTTACTCCAACACAAGGATCCAGTACTCTGCTCATGCAGACCTTATTTTACCGTTGACCTTACAAGCTCTTAGTACAAAGATCGAAGGAGAGAGTCATATAATGAAGAGAATCAGTAGAAAAATAATAAAAGCTTTACAACTGTGTATTGGTATGTAGTCTTGTTCTTCTTTAGTTCTACAAAATACCGTCGACATCCAATGATTACATACTGTTGCATACATGGACTATTTATTACATTTTACCCCTTTAGACTTTACAACTATGTATTGGTATGCAGAAAGTTTTTGGTCATCATATTACCTATAAATGTTTTCAGTATTTTAACCAATACTTACATTTTCATTTATAGACGCACCATGGATTAGTGTTCATACTAAGATAAAAACATATGAAAACTCAATTCAGTAGATCCATATGGGTGATTTTTTTTCATGACATCCTGGTGACTAAATAACAAAATGACCAATATTCAGAATTCTAAGTATTTATCCCAGTCATTTTTGCAGAAATTTTTGTCATGATTGGCAAGAATTACCCTTCCTGAGGACTTTGTCCTAAGTGTTCACTGCAGGTAATGTTGTTTATTATTTCTCAGGTTAGGTGGCTAAAGTTAAGTGTGAAGACTATCTCTAACTGAACTTAAGTAAATTGTGATGTTAGTTTTGATATTATACTTATCCTAGGCAACCTTATTAAATAGTTTAGATGTTGTAATTAGTATGTTTTGTATTTATACTTTTCTGGGATCTTGGTTTATGGTATAGCTGCCTTTAGTTTGTTCTATTTTCAGAGTTACTCTTATTTATATATCTGGCTACATCAATCTTGTCTTATGATTGATACACATTGTAAAATTAATTCTTCAGAAAAAAAAAGCAAGTCCAATATGAAATTATATTATATTTTTCGTATGAGAATTATGAGGAGATAAAATGAACACTTTATCATCGCATATCACCACCGGAAGTGTGACTTTCATCGATCAAAACTAATATTTCATTAGAATTAAAAGTCTAGAAGTCGTACAGTTTAGGTTTTTCAAAGATTAAATGGGTAAAATCCTGTCTGAAGTTGTATATATACATGATATAGTTCATAGTGCGTTTGCTGATATTCCATGTATTCTCTAGATTATATGCCCGTATCCATGTAGTCAAACCTACATGGGGATCTTTCCATGTCTTGATTTGGACAACAGTTGTTATATTTCGTTGGACACTTAAATTCGTGGATAAAGCCATCCACGAAAACCACGAAAATCGGTACCCCACGAATAAAAGTACTTTCACAGTACCTGAAATATATACAATCAATGCTTAAATAAAGGTCATTCTTGGGTCCAGGTTTACTGACCTTACAAGAGAAGTGACCTATGAATTTAGGTTCAAAATACATAGGTATTGCTACAGTGGAACAAGAAGACTGTGACCTTGACAAGACGGGTGTTCACTTAATTAAGGTGACCTTTAATAGCAGGTTTGACTATATATCTTAAATTTCAGAGATCTTGTTTTATTTTCAGTGTTGACAGGAGAAGAGGACATTAAGAGAAAATTGGTTGGTATGGTGGATATGCAGATGTTTTCTAAGTTACTGGAATTTCAGTTCTCTAACAATAAAGTGGCTCTAAATTCAAGCAAATTTACTCTGGTTACTGATGATTTAAGGTAAGCTCTTATACAACCATGTGTTAGGGAACAGGAAAGCAATGGTAAAAAAAATATATAGACTGAAAATTGAACATAAAGAGAGAAACCAGTGAAGAACAGAAGATTGAAAACCAGCAACAAGCCAACAACTGAAGTAAACAACACAAAGTTAAACAAAAAATTAAAAACTTTTATCACACAGCAAACACTGAAATAATAGACATGATGACCAATTTTTTCTTGGCAAATTTTTGCAAGGTACTTTTATTTTTTTCTGAAATAATGTATATTTTATATATAATGCTAAATTTCTAATTGCCAACCGTATATTCGGGTTAACGTACAGGTTGCAGTTAGCCTCACTGATGAGTCTTTTGTAGACGAAACGCATGTCTGATGTATAAAATTTTAAAGCTGGTATCTATGATGAGATTTATATTAATAATGTGATGAATTGAATGTGCATAAAAGTAAGAAATGAAGTTTTTTTATTATACTGAATTTATTCTAAGGTTCTGATTGATATGTCAGAAAGCTTATATATGTGGACCAAAAATGTATACTTAGAACAAATTAAATGTCCCCTCGAAATTCTTTTGACGTTTCTACATTATTTGGCTCTCATGAACCAATGTGTCAAGTCAGCTATTCTCATCAGTTGGTGTCATTGTATATAGTTTGTTAACTTTTACAAAAGTCTTCTGTGAAACTACTGGGTCAGCAAGACAAGATCCAAAAAAAAAAAAAAAAACGGAAAGAAATTGTCAGACGACTCCTAATAGGAGTTATTGCCCTTAAATGACAACTTTTACCAATTATTCATTTTTGCATAATAGATAAAGAGAAATTTTATATAGGACAAATGATCAGCAAAGGTAAGATCTACAAAAAGGTCAAACATATCTGAAGTTGTTAGTTAACTACTTTCAGTAGTTATTGCCCTTAAATGACAATTTTATTTTATGTTTTTGTTGTTTCTGCTCTGGGCAAAAACATTAGAAGATAAAGAGAAACTGTAAACATTGAAAATGTTCAGCAAGACATTATCAACAAATATATAAAAAAAGGTCAAAATTTGCAGTTCACTTCTTATGGTAGCTACTGCCCTTGAATGGTGATTTTTACTCATTTTTTTATGTTTTTGACAAAAACTGTAGCAGATAGGGAGAAACTAAACGGAAAAAAATGATCAGCAATACAAGATAAAAAAAAAAGAGATTTAATGAATTATAGTCATAATATTGTAGAGTATGCAGTTAGAACATGGTGAGCAACACAGACTCTTTAGAGACCCTAGTTGAGTAATGCAAATTAAAAATGATTCATCACTGGTGTTTTGTTGAAGATTTTCAAATGCATTATATGAAGTTGAGGTTTGATAACACTGACTAATGATATATGTTACAGTGACATTGGTGTACATATATGAAGTTGAGGTTTGATAACACTGACTAATGATATATGTTACAGTGACATTGGTGTACATATATGATGTTGAGGTTTGATAACACTGACCAATGATATATGTTACAGTGACATTGGTGTACATATATGATGTTGAGGTTTGATAACACTGACTAATGATATATGTTACAGTGACATTGGTGTACATATATGATGTATGGTTTGATAACACTGACTAATGCTATATGTTACAGTGACATTGGTGTACATATATGAAGTTGAGGTTTGATAACACTGACTAATGATATATGTTACAGTGACATTGGTGTACATATATGATGTTGAGGTTTGATAACACTGACTAATGATATATGTTACAGTGACATTGGTGTACAAATTGTGATGTATGGTTTGGATTTGATGGCAAAATTAGCAAAAAATTTACCGGAAGTTGATGCTTTGTTTTCCTCAAGTTTACAAGTAAGTGAAGTCAAAGTACATTGAAATATTGAAAAAATGGACGTATTAAATCATTCATTCATTGCTTTGATGTTTATTGATATTTTCTGTAGTTTAAAAATAAAAGGGAAATATTATCTAACAACTTTAAACACCAAAATATCAGTTATAAATGTGTTATAAATATGTTCAGTATCACCCCTCATAATATCAGTGTTATAAATATGTTTAGTATCACCCCTCATAATATCAGTGTTATAAATATGTTCAGTATCACCCCTCATAATATCAGTGTTATAAATATGTTCAGTATCACCCCTCATAATATCAGTGTTATAAATATGTTTAGTATCACCCCTCATAATATCAGTGTTATAAATATGTTCAGTATCACCCCTCATAATATCAGTGTTATAAATATGTTCAGTATCACCCCTCATAATATCAGTGTTATAAATATGTTTAGTATCACCCCTCATAATATCAGTGTTATAAATATGTTCAGTATCACCCCTCATAATATCAGTGTTATAAATATGTTTAGTATCACCCCTCATAATATCAGTGTTATAAATATGTTCAGTATCACCCCTCATAATATCAGTGTTATAAATATGTTCAGTATCACCCCTCATAATATCAGTGTTATAAATATGTTTAGTATCACCCCTCATAATATCAGTGTTATAAATATGTTCAGTATCACCCCTCATAATATCAGTGTTATAAATATGTTCAGTATCACCCCTCATAATATCAGTGTTATAAATATGTTTAGTATCACCCCTCATAATATCAGTGTTATAAATATGTTTAGTATCACCCCTCATAATATCAACAATATTTATCTGCTACATACATGATTGTTTTATATCCAGTTTATACCCACTTTTTTTTTTCCTTTGTCTTTTTGTTAAAGGAAATAAACTAATAGTCTTTGAAACACTCTGATATTTTGAAAAAAACACACAGAAAAACAAGTACAGACAATAAATATACAGGACAGAATAACTGAATAACAAAACTGTCTACAATAGTAGAGGGGCATTATATTTTCTAATCTGTCTGTTTGTTTAACTGTTGATTACTCAAACCATAACTTTTTTTCAGGACAGTAGAATTGTGCCTTTCCTGTCAGCTGGTCTGACAAGTGACAACCGGACAGTAGTACAAGTGACGTTACAGATCATTTGTTTTGCTTCAATTTTGGATGCATTTCCTACAGTTTTGTAAGTCAATAACCAGAGCCAGGTAGTTCAGATGCATATTCGAAAATTCTTAAAATTTTGAAGGAAAAAAATAACAAAACTCGTGTTCGAAGATTTTCCTTAAAAGAATTACTTATGCAGCTTATTTGTGTTGGACATTCTCCACAAGATGCTTTGCTCAAATGATTTGAACTAATTCAAATAGGTCTTGAATTTTGGTATATCTCAATAGCATGCTTTTAACATAAATATATCTAATAATTTGACTTAAAATTGTATATAAATGTCTATTAACCTAGATGTTCAATTTTCTTGGTCTCTATATCCTAGAGATTAATGCTTTTAAGAGGTTGAATAATAGTATTGCGTTGTATTGTATTGTATTATACTTCAGACTTGGTGATGCTTTGGCTGCTAGTAATTGTAAGCGGAAGGAAGAATTAATGAAAAGGGAGACAATTCACCAACATGTTCAATATCATATGCCAGTTTTACAGAGTTATGAAAACAAGGAAAACATAACCAATGATGCCAGTAGGATTTCTGTTCAGGATGCTACAAGACTGTCAGACCAGGAGGCTTCAGTTCAATCTCTTATTGACAAAATGCAGTCTGGCTTTGAGGTATTGTAAAAGTTGAAATACTATAATTAGGACCGCCACATCGAGCATTTTAACAAAAACTGATATATTTGGTGTAGTAAATTTTTGAAAAATTTTGGTTAAAAATGATAAATTCTGAGAATCAGATTTTTTGCTAGGATTTAAATAAAAAAGGTATCATTTGTTATTACAAAATGATTCTTTTGTGTCAAAATTATTGGTTGACCATCATTTACGAAAAAACCCATCAAGATACTTAGTGCTTGGATTTTAACAAAACATATATTAATCGAGAACACATCCTGAATTAATTGCTGGTGTCAAAATTCATGAAAATTGACAACTTATGAACATTTGCTTTGTATGCATCAGTCTCTTTGCCTCACATAAAAATGTGAAAGTGGGCCCTGGTGACACATCAGCTTTCTAGTTGTTAAATGATATACATAAATAAGAATCCTTTACTAGTGTGGTTACAAGTGCTCAGGTTGTGATGTTTGTGGGGACTTGAATATATTTATGTTAGACATACAAAACATATAAACATTATTTACAATGAATGGTTTACGAGAAAAACAAATTTATAGAAACTATTTTGAAAGATTTTTTGGTAGACACCTTTTAAGTTTGCACTGCCTCAATTTGCATTTATTTAGAAACTTAATGTACCCCTTGTGTAGTAAATTGGCTGATAACAAGATAAATAGGTCTATCATTGTCATGGTAATTAATTTTATATTGTGTTATTGTTTCTTTGCCAAAAAGTTTGGTTTTGTTTGACAAGTTTATTGGTTAATGTTTATTTACAACATATTGTGTTTTATTTTGAGTTGAAGGGTGCTAATTCCTCTGAGATAATAGACCTGTATGAACACAAGATACAGTCTCTGCAGGTTAGTATGGTAAAGTTCAGATGAAGTGGATGTAAGCAATTATAGATAACCGTACATAATTATACATGATTATCTTTCAAGAACAATTTAAACCAAAAATCAACACAAAGCATGAAAGAAGTCCTAATACTTATTACAAAATTAAAGAAAAACATCATCCTATCAAAAGAGACTCAAAAGCTGTAAACCAATATATTTCACACTCCAAAGAAAAACAAATGGCACATTTTGTTAGGTTAATTTTATTACTTCATTTTGAAAGATTGTTCAAATGTTGCAGATTTATTTACATAAAAAAGAAAGATGTGGTATGATCGCCTATGAGACAATATCCTACAGAGACCAAAGGATATAGGGTTAGCAACTGTAGCTCACTGTATGGCCATCAACAATGAACAAAAACCCATACTGTATATAGTAGGCTTTAAAAGGCCCCAGCATGACAAAATGTGAAACAATTCAAGCGAGAAAACCAACAGCCTAATTTAAGCTAAAAATAGAATAAAGGAAAAACAAATCTATGGGACAGTAACCATTGACAACCTTTAAATTACAGGCTCCTGACATTTGAGGGGCTCAACCATTCCCTAACCATTGACAACCTTTAAATTACAGGCTCCTGACATGTGAGGGGCTCAACCATTCCCTAACCATTGACAACCTTTAAATTACAGGCTCCTGACATGTGAGGGGCTCAACCATTCCCTAACCATTGACAACCTTTAAATTACAGGCTCCTGACATGTGAGTGCTCAACAATTCCCTAACCATTGACAACCTTTAAATTACAGGCTCCTGACATTTGAGGGGCTCAACCATTCCCTAACCCATGACAACCTTTAAATTACAGGCTCCTGACATTTGAGGGGCTCAACCATTCCCTAACCCATGACAACCTTTAAATTACAGGCTCCTGACATTTGAGGGGCTCAACCATTCCCTAACCCATGACAACCTTTAAATTACAGGCTCCTAACATGTGAGGGGCTCAACCATTCCCTAACCCATGACAACCTTTAAATTACAGGCTCCTGACATTTGAGGGGCTCAACCATTCCCCAACCCATGACAACCTTTAAATTACAGGCTCCTGACATTTGAGGGGCTCAACCATTCCCCAACCCATGACAACCTTTAAATTACAGGCTCCTGACATTTGAGGGGCTCAACCATTCCCCAACCCATGACAACCTTTAATTTACAGGCTCCTGACATTTGAGGGGCGCATAAAGAATATATTTAACATGTTTGTGAGTGCTCAACTCTTCCCTAACCAATGACAGTTGTTTGTCTGCCCAACATTAGAACAAATGGTAAAAATCAGGTGAAATGGGCTTGACCTATAATTGTTTACTTTTTACACATTGTGACTTGGATGGAGGATTGTCTCATTGTCACTCATACCACAACTTCTTATTTATATTGACTCATCTGATCAGTACTATGCATATACCAAAAAACAAAATAACAAATCTAAGAGTATTCCCAGTGTCTGCAAGACTCCAAGACAAAATATAGACCAGTACAACTCCAAAGGACTGATTCAGTGTACAGATCTCATAAACAGAGAAAAGTATTAAAAGCAACATGTTTTTTATAAACAGAGAAAAGTATTAAAAGCATCGTGTAATTCATACACAGAGAAAAGTATTAAAAGCATCGTGTAATTCATACACAGAGAAAAGTATTAAAAGCATCGTGTAATTCATACACAGAGAAAAGTATTAAAAGCATCGTGTAATTCATACACAGAGAAAAGTATTAAAAGCATCGTGTAATTCGTAAACAGAGAAAAGTATTAAAAGCATCGTGTAATTCATACACAGAGAAAAGTATTAAAAGCATCATGTATTTCATTAACAGAGAAAAGTATTAAAAGCATCGTGTAATTCATACACAGAGAAAAGTATTAAAAGCATTGTGTAATTCATACACAGAGAAAAGTATTAAAAGCATCGTGTAATTCATTCACAGAGAAAAGTATTAAAAGCATCGTGTAATTCATACACAGAGAAAAGTATTAAAAGCATCGTGTAATTCATAAACAGAGAAAATATTAAAAGTATCGTGTAATTCATACTCAGAGAAAAGTATTAAAAGCATCGTGTAATTCATACACAGAGAAAAGTATTAAAAGCATCGTGTAATTCATACACAGAGAAAAGTATTAAAAGCATCGTGTAATTCATACACAGAGAAAAGTATTAAAAGCATCGTGTAATTCATACACAGAGAAAAGTATTAAAAGCATCGTGTAATTCATAAACAGAGAAAAGTATTAAAAGCATCGTGTAATTCATAGCATCGTGTAATTCATACACAGAGAAAAGTATTAAAAGCATCGTGTAATTCGTACACAGAGAAAAGTATTAAAAGCATCGTGTAATTCATACACAGAGAAAAGTATTAAAAGCATTGTGTAATTCATACACAGAGAAAAGTATTAAAAGCATCGTGTAATTCATACACAGAGAAAAGTATTAAAAGCATCGTGTAATTCATACACAGAGAAAAGTATTAAAAGCATCGTGTAATTCGTACACAGAGAAAAGTATTAAAAGCATCGTGTAATTCGTAAACAGAGAAAAGTATTAAAAGCATCGTGTAATTCGTAAACAGAGAAAAGTATTAAAAGCATCGTGTAATTCATACACAGAGAAAAGTATTAAAAGCATCGTGTAATTCATACACAGAGAAAAGTATTAAAAGCATCGTGTAATTCATACACAGAGAAAAGTATTACACAGAGAAAAGTATTAAAAGCATCGTGTAATTCATACACAGAGAAAAGTATTAAAAGCATCGTGTAATTCATACACAGAGAAAAGTATTAAAAGCATCGTGTAATTCATACACAGAGAAAAGTATTAAAAGCATCGTGTAATTCATACACAGAGAAAAGTATTAAAAGCATCGTGTAATTCATACACAGAGAAAAGTATTATAAGCATCGTGTAATTCATACACAGAGAAAAGTATTAAAAGCATTGAGTAATTCATACACAGAGAAAAGTATTAAAAGCATTGAGTAATTCATACACAGAGAAAAGTATTAAAAGCATCGTGTAATTCATACACAGAGAAAAGTATTAAAAGCATCGTGTAATTCATAAACAGAGAAAAGTATTAAAAGCATCGTGTAATTCATAGCATCGTGTAATTCATACACAGAGAAAAGTATTAAAAGCATCGTGTAATTCGTACACAGAGAAAAGTATTAAAAGCATCGTGTAATTCATACACAGAGAAAAGTATTAAAAGCATCGTGTAATTCATAAACAGAGAAAAGTATTAAAAGCATCGTGTAATTCATACACAGAGAAAAGTATTAAAAGCATCGTGTAATTCATACACAGAGAAAAGTATTAAAAGCATCGTGTAATTCGTACACAGAGAAAAGTATTAAAAGCATCGTGTAATTCGTAAACAGAGAAAAGTATTAAAAGCATCGTGTAATTCGTAAACAGAGAAAAGTATTAAAAGCATCGTGTAATTCATACACAGAGAACAGAGAAAAGTATTAAAAGCATCATGTAATTCATTAACAGAGAAAAGTATTAAAAGCATCGTGTAATTCATACACAGAGAAAAGTATTTTCAGCATCGTGTAATTCATACACAGAGAAAAGTATTTTCAGCATCGTGTAATTCATACACAGAGAAAAGTATTAAAAGCATCATGTAATTCATACACAGAGAAAAGTATTAAAAGCATCGTGTAATTCATACACAGAGAAAAGTATTAAAAGCATCATGTAATTCATTAACAGAGAAAAGTATTAAAAGCATCGTGTAATTCATAAACAGAGAAAAGTATTTTCAGCATCGTGTAATTCATACAGTAACACAGAGAAAAGTATTAAAAGCATCGTGTAATTCATACAGTAACACAGAGAAAAGTATTTTCAGCATCGTGTAATTCATACAGTAACACAGAGAAAAGTATTAAAAGCATTGAGTAATTCATACACAGAGAAAAGTATTATAAGCATCGTGTAATTCATACACAGAGAAAAGTATTAAAAGCATTGAGTAATTCATACACAGAGAAAAGTATTAAAAGCATTGAGTAATTCATACACAGAGAAAAGTATTAAAAGCATCGTGTAATTCATACACAGAGAAAAGTATTAAAAGCATTGAGTAATTCATACACAGAGAAAAGTATTAAAAGCATTGAGTAATTCATACACAGAGAAAAGTATTAAAAGCATTGAGTAATTCATACACAGAGAAAAGTATTAAAAGCATTGAGTAATTCATCATAGAGAAAAGTATTAAAAGCATCATGTAATTCATACACAGAGAAAAGTATTAAAAGCATTGAGTAATTCATACACAGAGAAAAGTATTAAAAGCATTGTGTAATTCATACAGTAACACAGAGAAAAGTATTTTCAGCATCGTGTAATTCATACAGTAACACAGAGAAAAGTATTAAAAGCATTGAGTAATTCATACACAGAGAAAAGTATTATAAGCATCGTGTAATTCATACACAGAGAAAAGTATTAAAAGCATTGAGTAATTCATACACAGAGAAAAGTATTAAAAGCATTGAGTAATTCATACACAGAGAAAAGTATTAAAAGCATCGTGTAATTCATACACAGAGAAAAGTATTAAAAGCATTGAGTAATTCATACACAGAGAAAAGTATTAAAAGCATTGAGTAATTCATACACAGAGAAAAGTATTAAAAGCATTGAGTAATTCATACACAGAGAAAAGTATTAAAAGCATTGAGTAATTCATACACAGAGAAAAGTATTAAAAGCATCATGTAATTCATACACAGAGAAAAGTATTAAAAGCATTGAGTAATTCATACACAGAGAAAAGTATTAAAAGCATCATGTAATTCATACACAGAGAAAAGTATTTTCAGTATAGTGTAATTCATTATTAGAGAAAAGTATTAAACGCATTGTGTAATTCATAAAAATAGTATTGACAGGATGAACCACCATAATGTAAATAACTGGATTGGTGTATTTGTACTATTTAAATAAAACATTTCATATGATTTTATATAGATTTCAAAATGATCCATGGTTTATGGGTCACCTAAGAGATTAGCTTTCATGTAGGCTGATTAATTGAAAGATTTAAATTGACAAATTTGTGGTAAATTTATATATGAAGTATTTTTTGTTTGTGTAGACAAAAGAAGAACAACTTCAAGACTTGCTGGAAGCCAAGAGTCTAGCTCTCACACAGGCTGATCGATTGATAGCTCAGCATAGGTCCAGGAAAGCTGCTTATGAGGCTGAGGTAAGTTGAGTCTTTTCCCTTTTTCACGTTGATAAATTTGTCCGGGGTTAGCTAAGAGTATGCCCTCACACAGGCTGATTGATTTACTCAATATGTCCAGGAAAAGCTGAATCTGAAGCTGAATTAAGTCTTACTCTCACACACAGGTTGATTGATTTCTCAATATGTAAGGAAAGCTTAATATGAAGCTGATTTTATAGTCGAGTCAAACCTTTTTCACATGTTGATTAATGGGTCAGGAGTCAGCTAAGACAGGGTGATCTATTAATAGATCAACACTGCTCAAGGAAAGCTGTTTATGAAGCTAAGATAACGATGTTTTCCAGAAGAAGACAGACAACAGTGCATATTTTTATTTTCCTTTTATTTATTTTAGGCAGCTAAAATGAGACGATTACTTCACTCATCTGAGATCAACAGTGAGAAATGTAAAGAGGAAATAAATGAGTTAAAATTAAAGAAGGAACATCTACAAAACACACTGGAGAGCGTGATGGAGGAAAAATCTCAGTAAGTTATCTTATACTTGTTCTTAGTATTGCTGTGAAAAGGGGGAAATGAGTCTGATTGAACTTCAACATGATGAAAACAATATTCTATGTGCCACTCCTTTAATTAGACTGAGATTTTAGATTGTCCTTGGTATCCTTTAATTAGACTGAGATTTTAGATTGTCCTTGGTATCCTTTAATTAGACTGAGATTTTAGATTGTCCTTGGTATCCTTTAATAAGACTGAGATTTTAGATTGTCCTTGGTATCCTTTAATTAGACTGAGATTTTAGATTGTCCTTGGTATCCTTTAATAAGACTGAGATTTTAGATTGTCCTTGGTATCCTTTAATAAGACTGAGATTTTAGATTGTCCTTGGTATCCTTTAATTAGACTGAGATTTTAGATTGTCCTTGGTATCCTTTAATTAGACTGAGATTTTAGATTGTCCTTGGTATCCTTTAATTAGACTGAGATTTTAGATTGTCCTTGGTATCCTTTAATTAGACTGAGATTTTAGATTGTCCTTGGTATCCTTTAATTAGACTGAGATTTTAGATTGTCCTTGGTATCCTTTAATTAGACTGAGATTTTAGATTGTCCTTGGTATCCTTTAATTAGACTGAGATTTTAGATTGTCCTTGGTATCCTTTAATTAGACTGAGATTTTAGATTGTCCTTGGTATCCTTTAATTAGACTGAGATTTTAGATTGTCCTTGGTATCCTTTAATTAGACTGAGATTTTAGATTGTCCTTGGTATCCTTTAATAAGACTGAGATTTTAGATTGTCCTTGGTATCCTTTAATTAGACTGAGATTTTAGATTGTCCTTGGTATCCTTTAATAAGACTGAGATTTTAGATTGTCCTTGGTATCCTTTAATTAGACTGAGATTTTAGATTGTCCTTGGTATCCTTTAATTAGACTGAGATTTTAGATTGTCCTTGGTATCCTTTAATAAGACTGAGATTTTAGATTGTCCTTGGTATCCTTTAATAAGACTGAGATTTTAGATTGTCCTTGGTATCCTTTAATTAGACTGAGATTTTAGATTGTCCTTGGTATCCTTTAATTAGACGGAGATTTTAGATTGTCCTTGGTATCCTTTAATTAGACTGAGATTTTAGATTGTCCTTGGTATCCTTTAATTAGACGGAGATTTTAGATTGTCCTTGGTATCCTTTAATTAGACTGAGATTTTAGATTGTCCTTGGTATCCTTTAATTAGACGGAGATTTTAGATTGTCCTTGGTATCCTTTAATTAGACTGAGATTTTAGATTGTCCTTGGTATCCTTTAATTAGACTGAGATTTTAGATTGTCCTTGGTATCTTCTCTCTCTCTTTTTAATAGAAATTGTGTCCAAACAGATATTTACATTTTGGGCCAAAATTACTAACCTCAAGTTTTGATGGCTCTCTTGAAATGTTTTACAGGAGTTGATATAAAGAAAATAATATGGAAAATGAGATAAGAAAAATGTGAGAACAGCTAAATAATTTGACTGGATGATGCTTTGATTATTTGACACAATTTCTTACTGAAACATGATTAAAAAAAACATTTCTCTTGGCCTGCTAGTGCTTCTTATGGTCATTTTCTGGTTAGTTATTATACCCCTGCTTTAAAAAAGTGGGGTATACTGTTTTACCTCTGTCTGTCCGTCCGTCCATCCTTCCGTCTCATGAATATTTTGCGTCGCATCTTTCTCAGGAACTACACTACAAGGATTTCTGAAATTTGGTTTCAGGGTTTATATAAGTCAGCTATATGGTGTCATGCGTTTTCAGATTCATCACTCAACAAATTCCTATTTACCGTCAAGTATTTGGGCGGGGGTATCATCAGTGTGCAGTAGCTCACAGTTTCACTTCATTGAAATGCACAAATAAACTAAAAAGCACCACTTGTCAATAATTCACTGGGAAAATTTTCATAGTTTATATGTCTGTAGTTTCTTAAAAATATTCTGTCATTCTTGGTGAACTCTTATAAGCAGTATATTCTGTAAAATGCCCTATTTAGCTGATTTATGGTTATGAGTAGATAACTGTTTGAAACCAGTTTATATAGCTAATTTTTGAACTTATGTAAGTTGAATGTTTTAATGTGCATTAAATAGTATATGGGAGGGATCTGTTGTGACAAATAGAAACAAGTTTTTTTTCTCATTAAGATTTTTTGTGAAATTGTCTATAGTTCTTTTTAGCTATACTGACAATACATATTTAATTGTTACAGGTATATTTTGATTGTGTGTTACTGATAATTACAGGTATATTTTGATTCTGTGTTACTTATAATTACTGTTTTAGCACTGGGAGACATAGCCTTAGGGTAATTAACTTGGGTAAAGGAGACATAGCTTTAGGGTAATTAACTTGGGTAAAGATATCATACTACTTACTCTCAAACTGGGCATGAGACACATTTATAAGTCTCTCAAACTGAGCACGAGACACATTTATAAGTAACCCATAAACTTCTCAAACTGGGCACGAGACACATTTATAAGTCTCTCAAATTAAGGCACGAGACACATTTATAAGTAACCCATAAACTTCTCAAACTGGGCACGAGACACATTTATAAGTCTCTCAAATTTGGCACGAGACACATTTATAAGTAACCCATAAACTTCTCAAACTGGGCACAAGACACATTTATAAGTAACCCATGAACTTCTCAAACTGGGCACGAGACACATTTATAAGTAACCCATAAACTTCTCTAACTGGGCACGAGACACATTTATAAGTAACCCATAGACTTCTCAAACTGGGCACGCTACACATTTATAAGTAACCCATAAACTTCTAAGTATTGAACTATATTCATTTAAGTATGACTAAAGACAATATCGCTTCAGCATACAAACTTGATGATACCATCTGTCTTCTTTAAGTAATAGAAGTGATTTATTTATTTACAGGTTAGAACAAGTAGCAGAAGAACACCAACAGTTAACAGCAGCTTATACAGAACTGTCAGAAAAGTAAGTACAATATAAACGCCAACAGTTAACAGCAGCTTATACAGAACTGTCAGAAAAGTGAGTACAATATAAACACCAACAGTTAACAGCAGCTTATACAGAACTGTCAGAAAAGTGAGTACAATATATAAACACTAACAGTTAACAGCAGCTTATACAGAACTGTCAGAAAAGTAAGTACAATATAAACACCGACAGTTAAAAGCTACTTGTACAGAACTGTCAGAAAAGTGAGTACAATATATAAACACTAACAGTTAACAGCAGCTTATACAGAACTGTCAGAAAAGTAAGTACAATATATAAACACTAACAGTTAACAGCAGCTTATACACAACTGTCAGAAAAGTGAGTACAATATAAACACCAACAGTTAACAGCTACTTGTACAGAACTGTCAGAAAAGTGAGTACAATATATAAACACTAACAGTTAACAGCAGCTTATACAGAACTGTCAGAAAAGTAAGTACAATATATAAACACTAACAGTTAACAAGAGGTTATACAGAACTGTCAGAAAAGTAAGTACAATATAAACACCAACAGTTAACAGCTACTTGTACAGAACTGTCAGAAAAGTGAGTACAATATATAAATACTAACAGTTAACAGCAGCTTATATAGAACTGTCAGAAAAGTAAGTACAATATATAAACACTAACAGTTAACAGCAGCTTATACAGAACTGTCAGAAACGTGAGTACAATATAAACACCAACAGTTAACAGCAGCTTATACAGACCTGTCAGAAAAGTAAGTTGTTCAAGTGATTTAAGTAAGATTAGCTTTCTTCTTGGAGACGAATAGAAAAAACTATTAAGAATTTGTTTATGAAGTTATTTGTTAGGTACAAGTTATCTTACAGATTATGTCATTAAATGATATCACATGTAGAAAGAGGCATTAGGTTAAAAAGTATACAAAGTGAAAAGATGAATTTTGTAAATAACACTAATATGCATTATTAAAGTGAGATAATTATATTTGCAGATATACATCTGTAGACAAGTCACTGTTGTCATTAAAACAAGAACACAAGACATTATCAGAGATGCATGAAGTATTGCGGAAACATGATGAAAATCTCAAAGAGCAATGTGATAGGTAAGTACTATAATAGCTTCAAAATATTATCATCATTCTCTACAGCTGTTTTCATTTAATTTCTGAAATTTATACCCATTATAGGAGCTGGAATAAGGGGTTTAATGTGTGTGAGGACTTTTTGGATCTGTCAGATACATTTGTAAAGTTTGCAGATACCTTGAATTTTTCAGTATGTTAAAATTAACATTAAATTTTGTCACACATTTCTCCAATACTACTAAACAGAATGACTTGATATTTGTTCAGCAGTTCAACAGGGATGAGTTTATACACTTTAAGAATCTGTCAGACACCTACTTCCTGTTTTGAAATGCTTTGAATTATGAGTAGGGGTATGCTTTAATACCATGACAATGCTTGCATTCTTTTTCCTATTTGCAAACACTCAGACCTAGGCCAAACTGGGAAGGAGAAGTATTAGGGAGAATCCTTTTATATTATGCATATCATACTTTTGTCCTAAAACTTAGTAGGATAGAGTTTGAATCCCGAAATAAAATTTTTCATGCTCTACCTACGATCACATCAACTTGAAATTTAGTATGCATGATCAATATGATGTAAACATTTGATAATGTATAAAAAAAATTGAGTTTTCCCCAGATTTTGCAGTTAATGGTTTTCTGGTTATGACTTTTCTCAGATACTATAAGCAATAGGTCAACTATATTTGGTGTATGACATGTTTTGGTATATGAAATGATTGTAGGGTGTACATGTCTGCCTGCAGGTTCTTTTGACCATGACCTAATTTTCATGATTTATTTGGTCTATATTAAATTTTCATGGTTCTGTTTCTAAGATACTATAAGCAATAGGTTAACTACATTTGGTGTATGACATGATTTAAGATGAACTTATTTGTCTGGCAGGGTTCATCTGACCTTGACCTCATTAGCATGGATTATTGATAATGCTAAGTTTTTGTAATAATTGTATTAAAACCTTTATCTTAAAACTTTTCAACATAAATTCAGTCATGATTAGTAAACCTGGTGAGACATTTCAGCATGTGCACTTTTGTTTGGTAGTAAACATATCATTTTTGCACTGACAACAGCAGTTGATGACAAGACTCCTTGTAGACCCCTTTACATTTTTTTTGTGATTGAAATTGTTTTTTCAGCACATTTATGCTTTGATTTTAATATTTGAGTTTTCAAAAAGAGTAACCAGTAAATTTGTTTTTTAGTGCAGCAGAACAACTGAGTAAGCTGGAGACAGAAAGGAAAACTTTAAATAAAACTCTGAAGGAGAAAGAATCAAAACTATCAGGTTAGTTCACTTAAAATATGTACTCTTGATCAAGGCTTCCAAAATGGTCATATTTGCCGGACAAATATAAATTTATCAGACATTGTCCGACTGTGCCAAGCATGAAACGGACATTCTACATGGGTTTGCCATTTCAACATTCATGTAATTAAGAAAATTCAGCCATTTTGACTTTACCTCATGCCTTAAACAGCCACACTTTTCTGGTCATAAAAGTGGCATTACTCTATAAACAAGCCCTACTATAATCCCCTCTCATTACAATCAAGGTTAATTAAGTGTCTAACAGGTGAGATTTACCTGTGATCACCTGTGTCAGGTAAACTAAAGACGTATTTACACTTGTATGCAAATTTGTCCGCCCTTACGTAAAATCACACAAGTTCCCGTAAAATTTGACTTCATAATTCAAAAAATTTGACATCACAATTCAAAAAATTATTGTTGCTTGACGTCAGAAGGTTATTCAGAGCAGATCTAAGGTCATTAGGAGAAAACAGCTAAATACCAAAAGTGTAAATACGTTTATTTGTACCGGACATCAATCAATCTTTTTGGAAGTTATTTTTATTTTATTAAAGATAAAAACTTTCCTGGTTTAAATCTAACTACTTTTTAGCAAAACAGATTTAGACTATCAGAAAAACGTATTTAAAATGATAAGATTATAATTTGCAAAGGTGGTAAAAAAGTTAAACAGACAGAACCACGTCAATTGAAATATAAGAAGTGTGCGCATGTGCAAAAGTGTGATATATTTTATTATGTAATAATGCGTCCGAATTCATCCAAAATGAAAAAAATGTCATATATACCATTATCTTATGTTCATCTCAAGTACTTTCCCTAAGAAATAACGTAGAAAGAACTGCTTCAACTCAATAATGCTAGATAAAAATACACGGGTTTTGCACAACCGTCTCTGTTCCGCATTCTATCGTCATCTAGTAAATTGGAAAACGAAATAACTAAGCTGGTCCTCAACTGACTGATAAACTTTGTTAAGTCTGTAGATATATGCCAATTCAAACCATGCACTATCAATGTAATTGTTCATGTCAAACATGGAATAAGTCTGTAGATATATGCCAATTCAAACCATGCACTATCAATGTAATTGTTCATGTCAAACATGGAATAAGTCTGTAGATATATGCCAATTCAAACCATGCACTATCAATGTAATTGTTCATGTCAAACATGGAATTTATATAAATGTATGAAGTATGAAGTTTATGGTCCTTTAATAGTTGAATGGCTTTATTATATGATTATGTCCCTCTTTTGTTATAGGGTAACCTGAATAAAGGGATAAAAAAATGGGATTGTAAAAATGTCCGGCTGGCTCAAATATTTTTTGGAAGCCCTGCTCTTGATCACAGATGTTGCATTAACATACATTATGATAACTATGACATTTGAAAATTATATCCCATTCTTATAGGAACATAATGATATTTCATATGTTTTTCTTTCAAACAGTAGCTTTAGGTACGATTTGTGATTTATAGTGTGTTTAAATAGAACACATTTCTGCATCATTTTAATTTATACAAACATTTGAAAAGGCTGCAATATATAATAAACTATCAATTTTTTTTTTCTTCTTCTAGAACTGATGAAGACACACACAAAATTACAAAAGGATCATAAGACGTCTGAGAGTGAGAGAGAGCAATTAGAGGAAGCTGTTGATAAATACAGAGCAAATATGGCTCAGTTAGAGCAGACAAAGAAAGAATTTCAACATCAGGTTTGTTCTCTTTCCCTTCTAACTTCTTCAAAGTTGACAGATGTTAATCTGATTGAAGGCCCTACTCAAGACTACCAATACCTATTTCAAATCCCACAATGTGTTCTATTGGAGGCCCTACTCAAGACTACCAATACCTATTTCAAATCCCACAATGTGTTCTGTTGACGGCCCTTCTCAAGACTACCAATACCTATCTCAAATCCCACAATGTGTTCTGTTGACGGCCCTACTCAAGACTACCAATACCTATCTCAAATCCCACAATGTGTTCTGTTGGAGGCCCTAATCAAGACTACCAATACCTATTTCAAATCCCACAATGTGTTCTATTGGAGGCCCTACTCAAGACTACCAATACCTATTTCAAATCCCACAATGTGTTCTATTGGAGGCCCTACTCAAGACTACCAATACCTATCTTAAATCCCACAATGTGTTCTATTGGAGGCCCTACTCAAGACTACCAATACCTATTTCAAATCCCACAATGTGTTCTGTTGACGGCCCTACTCAAGACTACCAATACCTATCTCAAATCCCACAATGTGTTCTATTGGAGGCCCTAATCAAGACTACCAATACCTATTTCAAATCCCACAATGTGTTCTGTTGACGGCCCTACTCAAGACTACCAATACCTATTTCAAATCCCACAATGTGTTCTGTTGGAGGCCCTACTCAAGACTACCAATACCTATCTCAAGTCCCACAATGTGTTCTATTGAAGGCCCTACTCAAGACTACCAATACCTATCTCAAGTCCCACAATGTGTTCTGTTGAAGGCCCTACTCAAGACTACCAATACCTATCTCAAATCCCACAATGTGTTCTGTTGGAGGCCCTACTCAAGACTACCAATACCTATCTCAAATCCCACAATGTGTTCTGTTGGAGGCCCTACTCAAGACTACCAATACCTATCTCGAAATCCCATAATGTGTTCTGTTGGAGGCCCTACTCAAGACTACCAATACCTATCTCAAATCCCACAATGTGTTCTATTGAAGGCCCTACTCAAGACTACCAATACCTATCTTAAATCCCACAATGTGTTCTATTGAAGGCCCTACTCAAGACTACCAATACCTATCTTAAATCCCACAATGTGTTCTATTGAAGGCCCTACTCAAGACTACCTATACCTATCTTAAATCCCACAATGTGTTCTATTGAAGGCTCTACTCAAGACTTCCAATACCTAGACTACCAATACCTATCTCGAATCCCACAATGTGTTCTATTGAAGGCCCTACTCAAGACTTCCAATACCTATCTCAAATCCCACAATGTGTTCTATTGAAGGCCCTACTCAAGATTACCAATACCTATCTCAAATCCCACAATGTGTTCTGTTGAAGGCCCTACTCAAGACTACCAATACCTATTTTAAATCCCACAATGTGTTCTGTTGAAGGCCCTACTCAAGACTACCAATACCAATCTCAAATCCCACAATGTGTTCTGTTGGAGGCCCTACTCAAGACTACCAATACCTATCTCAAATCCCACAATGTGTTCTGTTGGAGGCCCTACTCAAGACTACCAATACCTATCTCTAAATCCCATAATGTGTTCTATTGAAGGCCCTACTCAAGACTACCAATACCTATCTCAAATCCCATAATGTGTTCTATTGAAGGCCCTACTCAAGACTACCTATACCTATCTCAATCCCACAATGTGTTCTATTGAAGGCCCTACTCAAGACTACCAATACCTATCTCAAATCCCACAATGTGTTCTATTGAAGGCCCTACTCAAGACTACCAATACCTATCTCAAATCCCACAATGTGTTCTATTGAAGGCCCTACTCAAGACTACCAATACCTATCTCAAATCCCACAATGTGTTCTATTGAAGGCCCTACTCAAGACTACCTATACCTATCTTAAATCCCACAATGTGTTCTATTGAAGGCCCTACTCAAGACTACCAATACCTATCTCAAATCCCACAATGTGTTCTATTGAAGGCCCTACTCAAGACTACCTATACCTATCTCAAATCCCACAATGTGTTCTATTGAAGGCCCTACTCAAGACTACCAATACCTATCTTAAATCCCATAATGTGTTCTATTGAAGGCCCTACTCAAGACTACCTATACCTATCTTAAATCCCACAATGTGTTCTATTGAAGGCCCTACTCAAGACTACCTATACCTATCTCAAGTCCCACAATGTGTTCTATTGAAGGCCCTACTCAAGACTACCTATACCTATCTCAAATCCCACAATGTGTTCTATTGAAGGCCCTACTCAAGACTTCCAATACCTATCTCAAGTCCCACAATGTGTTCTATTGAAGGCCCTACTCAAGACTACCAATACCTATCTCAAATCCCATAATGTGTTCTGTTGGAGGCCCTACTCAAGACTACCTATACCTATCTCAATCCCACAATGTGTTCTATTGAAGGCCCTACTCAAGACTTCCAATACCTATCTCAAGTCCCACAATGTGTTCTATTGAAGGCCCTACTCAAGACTACCAATACCTATCTCAAATCCCATAATGTGTTCTATTGAAGGCCCTACTCAAGACTACCAATACCTATCTCAAATCCCATAATGTGTTCTACTGAAGGCCCTACTCAAGACTACCAATACCTATCTCAAATCCCACAATGTGTTCTTAATAATAATGTGCATCCCATTATTGGTCAAATGAAAATACCTGACTTGATTGTACATGTAATTAAAATGTTGTGTATGTCTATATTTCTTCCTCTATAATAAAATTAATATAATAAACATTTATTCCTTACATTGAAATGGAGAAACTTGGTCAAGTCCTGATGAAAGTTCCTCCATGGTTAAATCTTTGGAGATCCCTGTTTAATTTCTTGGTGTGTGTTTATACAATGTAAGCATTGCTTGTTTACTTGGTATTATCTCAACATGTTTAGAAATGTTTCTCTTTGGTGAAAGTTCTTTGTAGACAGAATACCCATGATATGTACATAAAAGAAAAAGCCTTAATTATCTCCCCTGCCTACCTTTGTTAAACACTGTGATAATTCAGTTTTCTCTCTGACCAGCTTTATAGGTGTAGGCAATATAAACCTGTTATAATAATGGGAGGCTATTTCCTCACCCTGTCTGAATTTGCTATGGGGTGATATTATATTAATTATTCTTATATATAATTTCAGGATTCCTGACTAAGTTGTGTAGACAACAAAACTAATACAATAGAGTGTTTGATTAAAGCCATTTTTGGTCTCCACTGACTTTAGGGATAATAACTGAATTTGACTTTATATCTTGTCACTATATGATTTATTGGGACAACTTGAAACAGTTTGATCCTATATTTCAGGTCTCATCACTAGAACTTCTCTGTAGACAACATGAAACAGTTTGATCCTATATTTCAGGTCTCATCACTAGAACTTCTCTGTAGACAACATGAAACAGTTTGATCCTATATTTCAGGTCTCATCACTAGAACTTCTCTGTAGACAACATGAAACAGTTTGATCCTATATTTCAGGTCTCATCACTAGAACTTCTCTGTAGACAACATGAAACAGTTTGATCCTATATTTCAGGTCTCATCACTAGAACTTCTCTGTAGACAACATGAAACAGTTTGATCCTATATTTCAGGTCTCATCACTAGAACTTCTCTGTAGACAACATGAAACTGTTTGATCCTATATTTCAGGTCTCATCACTAGAACTTCTCTGTAGACAACATGAAACAGTTTGATCCTATATTTCAGGTCTCATCACTAGAACTTCTCTGTAGACAACATGAAACAGTTTGATCCTATATTTCAGGTCTCATCACTAGAACTTCTCTGTAGACAACATGAAACAGTTTGATCCTATATTTCAGGTCTCATCACTAGAACTTCTCTGTAGACAATATGAAACAGTTTGATCCTATATTTCAGGTCTCATCACTAGAACTTCTCTGTAGACAACATGAAACAGTTTGATCCTATATTTCAGGTCTCATCACTAGAACTTCTCTGTAGACAATATGAAACAGTTTGATCCTATATTTCAGGTCTCATCACTAGAACTTCTCTGTAGACAACATGAAACAGTTTGATCCTATATTTCAGGTCTCATCACTAGAACTTCTCTGTAGACAACATGAAACAGTTTGATCCTATATTTCAGGTCTCATCACTAGAACTTCTCTGTAGACAACATGAAACTGTTTGATCCTATATTTCAGGTCTCATCACTAGAACTTCTCTGTAGACAACATGAAACTGTTTGATCCTATATTTCAGGTCTCATCACTAGAACTTCTCTGTAGACAACATGAAACAGTTTGATCCTATATTTCAGGTCTCATCACTAGAACTTCTCTGTAGACAACATGAAACAGATATTGACAACAAAGATAAAGAACTTGTAACATTAAAGGGAGAAGTGGACAAACACAGACAGATTGCTGCGTTAATTAATAGTCTTAGTAGTGGAAAGTCTGAAAATGTAGCACGGCCATAGACATTAAACAAAAGATGGTCGTAAAAAGTAGCTTAACCATAGACATTAAACACAAAATAGACTTAAAACACAGCATGGCCATAGACATTAAACAAAAGATGGTCGTAAAAAGTAGCTTAACCATAAACATTAAACACAAAATAGACTTAAAACGCAGCATGGCCATAGACATTAAACACTAGATAGATCTAAGATATAGCACAGATGGATATAAATACAGTGCTGCCTAAATCAGTTCATCAATGAAGCCAGATTGCTGCATTAATCCATGGCTTTACTCATTCATTATTTCACTGAGAAAGAAAAACATTTTAATCCATGAAATTTATTTTGGCAATGACTATTAGAGGTGCTAGATAATATTAAGACATTACAAGATAAAACACATTCTTTTTTTGTCAAGCCTGCGAAATATATTTCGCGAAAGGGAGACATAGCGATCCTAGATTCCGTCGGCGGCGATGTCAACATTTAGGTTCAGTCTGTGGTTCAAGTTTTTTTAGACATCAATAATTTTGTCAAACCTTCATGGAATTTTATGAAATTTGGACAGAAGCTTGTTAATGACCAAAAGACAGTATTCAGAGCAAATTTTTGAAAATTTTTATTTTCATTTTTCTGTATTTTACTGTCTGGGGTTAAAGTTTGTTAGACATCAATTACTTTGTCAAAACTTCATAGAGTATTATGAAATTTTGGCAGAAGCTATTTAATGATTAAGAGATAATGTCTGAAGCAAACCTTTTCATTTTTATTATTTTTCTGATAGATGGACCTTGTTTTTTTACAGTTGGATTATATTTTTTGAAATGATAAATTTGTAAACCTTCATGGATTGTTATGAAACTTTGACAGAAGCTAATCTCCAAGACCGAGAAATATCATCTACGAAAAAGTTTGAGTTTTTTTTAAATTGTATATTTTACTGATAAATGGACTCACTTTTTAAGTCAAGATTACACCTTTACACTGACATCAGCAATAGCAGGCAAGACACATGGTTACACAGAACCCCTTACAATTTTTTGTGAGCGAATTCGTCCAGTAAACACATATACAAAACTCAAAAAAATAAATAGGTTTGATCTTTATATTTGATCATTTGTTTTATTAATTTACCTTTGGGGATCCCCAGTACAATACATTTCATAGTTTAATATATCTTATTAACAATGAGTGGAATTTCATTTTCAAGCCGCCATGTTATATTGGTTATGAAAGTGGTATAAGGCCAGTTAATATGTGATAAGAACTATTTATAAGGACAGTTACAATAAAGCTAATGTGATATGTATATTGATTTTTAATGACAAGACTTCATGTGTTTTGTATTTTATAGTGTAACATATATCTCACTGATTATATAATTGTTGCACCTCATATAACTTGAGTTTCTGTCTTGTATTTTTATGATGATTTTCTTGTTGCCTTAGTTACAATGTTGTTTCTGCCTCAATTAAACTTTTTCAACATTTTTCAATTGTTTCTTAAATATATGTTAATATGATTAATATGAAAATGTTTTCTTTTATACTTAAGTATTAGTCAATGTATCTCTATGAAATTGTACCACAAGGTTCCATACCACACACACAGAAGGTTGGGGTCGATTTTGTGGGTTGTGGCTTTAATCGTTAAGAAACTAGAAGCCAAATAGGGGCAAAAAACAAGACTTTTCTAATACTGGCTAAGCTGGTTCTAACATAAATTATTTCTGATCTATATAAAGAAACAACAAATACTGATATGGCAGGAGATACACACCAAGCAGGGTGTGTAAATTATTATATTTAGCTTGTAAACAGATTCACTAAGTATTGCGCAACAGCTAAGTATTGCACAACAGCAAGAAATCTTCAATTGAAAATAAATACACAAATTTTTTAACCAATTTCAATGAGAATTAATTTAAAGTCTTGAATTGTTTGAGGTTTTTACCATGTATTACTATATTGGATATTTGGACATTTTTAAATAGGTCTACATTGAGGTCCAAAAGGGTTCAGAATTAGAATTTGTTCGATTTCATCAAAAACTGAATTTTTGTGGTTCTATGATATGCTGAATCTAACTGTGCATTCAGATTTTTAATTTTGGGCCCTGTTTTCAAATAAGTCCATATTAAGGTCCAAAGGGTCCAAAATTAAACTTTGTTTGAATTCATGTTTTTTTTTTATATGCTGAATCTAACCATGGAATTAGATTTTGGATATTGGACCATTAAGTAGATTAAATATCCCATTTCAAATTTTTAAGTTATCTGACCACATTTATTCTGTGTCAGAAATCAATAATGTGTCAAATATTTAATCACTATCCAAATTCAGAGCTGTATCAAGCTTGAATATTGTGTCCATACTTGCCCCAACTGTTCAGTCGTATCCAGCTGCTCAGGCGGAGCGCATTTTTAACTTTTCATTTAAATTACAGAATCATTAAGAACAGTTATTATAAGTGAAAGTATTGATTAGTGTGTTTAGTTGTTAATTATTGATGGAAACAGTATTTTAAATTGACAGCTATGTTTCCTGTGTGATCGTGCATTAAGCATTTTGTATTCAGGGAATTTGTAAAATTATTTATTGATTCTGTACATGTCATATTATTTATCTCTTGTAACTTTATCAGACATGCATTTATTTTCATGAAATATTTTGCATTTTCATATAAAATCGAAATAAATAGTTTTAGATTTATCCAATTGTTTTGAATGATTTCCCTATTTAAATCTAGAAAATACATATAGATACTACTTCTGTGTCAAATATGAGATATAGGAATGCTTATCTGGTAGCTGCATTGGTTTTTGTCTCGCCTGCATGAGGTATTACAATCAAGCAGCGAAAACTATTTGTATAGAGATTTATATTTCAGAAGCTAGAAAACCTGGATGCTTCATACCTTGTATGCAGATACCATATGTTACAAAGTTTCCTCTGTCATATGTCCATTGTTCTTGACCTTATTTTCATGGTTCAGCGACTGCTTGAAAAAAAATTACTGTTTTGTTTTTAAAGTGAATACAAACTTATTATGAGTAACAGGATAACAATATTTGGTATATGGGTTCCTTGCAAGGTCTACATGTCTGTCAGGTAGGGTTCACCTATAAATTCATGGATCACTGATCAAGGTTAAAGTTAAGTGGTCAAGTCCTTTTCTCAGGTACTATAAGCAGTAGGTAAACTATATTTGGTGTATGGAATGAGGAATGATTGTAAGGTGTACATGTCCGACTGGCAGGTTTCATCTGACCTTGACCTAATTTTCATGGTTCATTGGTCAATGATAGGTTTTGTGGTTATATCAATTTATCAGTTACCATAAATAATATTTGGTGTATGGAATAATAGTAAGGTGTACATGTCTGTCTGGCAGGGTTCATTTTAACTTGACCTCATTTTCATGGTTCATTGGTCAATGTTGAGATTTTGTGGTTTGATCTGTTTCACATATACTTTTAAGTGATAGGATCACTATATTTGGTGTATGGAATGATTGTAAGGTGTATATGTCTGTCTGGCAAGGTTCATCTGACCGTGACTTCATTTTCATGGATGATTGATAATGTTATGTTTATGTGATCCTTATAGTGATACCTTCATATTACACCCTATCAACATCAACTCAAAGAATAAAGAAAAACAGGCGAGACATTTCAGTATGAGCACTCTTGTTAAATAAAGCTTTATAGTTCAATGACTGCAAAAAATATCTATATACTATTATTTGTTGTATTGAATGATTGCAATATTTACATGTTCATCATTTCATGGTTCAGTGATCAATGATAAGTTTTCTTGATAAGGTCCATTTCTCACATACTATAAGTAACATGTAAACTATTTTCAGTGTCAAGAATGATTACTTGGTATGAGGTGTACATAATAGAAAAACACAGGATATGGGCTATCCATATATGACACCAGAGCAGTACATGCACAACAAAAAAAAAACACACACAAAAAGCAAAGGGACAGTGCTTTTATTGCCATTCTTCATCATAAAGTCTGAGAATCTGACAGGATTCATCTGACCTTATTTTCATGGTTCATTGATGTTTAGTTTATGTGATATCTGTAGTAAAAATGTATTCTTTTCATTTTTTAAACTGCATAGATATGGCTTTAAAATTCACATAAAGACAATATTTTTATGCTGAAAGTTTCCATTAACTATGAGTAGATCAATGTGCTCGAAAAATTAGGTTTGGAGAAATTGTTTTAGGACTTTAAGAAACACTCTGAAAATTTGTGTACTATAGTGTGCAGATATGACTAAGTCAATGCCATGCCAAAGTAAAATTTGTGTACTATAGTGTGCAGATATGACTAAGTCAATGCCATGCCAAATAAAATTTGTGTACTGTAGTGTGCAGATATGACTAAGTCAATGACATGCCAAAGTAAAATTTGTGTACTGTAGTGTGCAGATATGACTAAGTCAATGCCATGCCAAAGTAAAATTTGTGTACTGTAGTGTGCATATATGAATAAGTCAATGCCATGCCAAAGTAAAATTTGTGTACTGTAGTGTGCAGATATGACTAAGTCAATGCCATGCCAAAGTAAAATTTGTGTACTGTAGTGTGCAGATATGACTAAGCTAATGCCTTGCCAAAGTAAAATTTGTGTACTGTAGTGTGCAGATATGACTAAGCCAATGCCATGCCAAAGTACAATTTGTGTACTGTAGTGTGCAGATATGACTAAGCTAATGCCTTGCCAAAGTAAAATTTGTGTACTGTAGTGTGCAGATATGACTAAGCCAATGCCATGCCAAAGTAAAATTTGTGTACTGTAGAAATTAATCTGGTAAAAAAGATAAAAGAGATGCAAAAGAACACCATGTGATTTAGATTCTGTGAGTTTGTTGAGTGGTTCAGGAGCAGCGTAAGATAGAAAGGGGGGAAAGGAAAGACAGACTGACCCCTCCTAATATACCACCCCTTCACAAAGGGGTCGGGGTATGATTAAACACAATCTTTGGTAAATATATCTCACCTGAGGAAGCCAGCCATTAATCCATGATGACAAAAAAAATCATAAAGAATTTTACAGTATTGTTTATTAATAATATTATATAAAATATGTTAACAATAGACAACATACATGAAGTGTTTTACAATACAATTATAGTGACACATTAGACAACATACATGAAGTGTTTTACAATACAATTATAGTGACACATTATAGTGATGACATGATAACCAATGACATTGTTATTTTGTATATTTTTTTTACAATGAGATTGACAGACTTTTTATTATATGGTTCAGCAGTATAATAAATTGTCTTATCTACACTTCCTTTCTTGAACATTAATAAATCAATAAACATAAAGTATACACAGTAAATATAAAATAGCACCATTTATCTTTATATGCAGATCATGTGTGAAAAAACAAGCACTGAAATAATAATGTTTATAAAATTCTTCAATCAATCATTACTATCTTTCAAATTAAATGCTAGTTCAGGTATAAATTGACATAAATTCTATGTGAGGAAATCAGATTTTTGAAATAGTTGTATTTCATCATATTTATGAACGTTTCAAATAATAAAGTGACAGAGCGATTTGGTCATTTTAAAATGACTCAAAATTAAAAAACCTCAAAATATGTAAAGCATGTATTCTCTTTTTTTAAGATGGATTTCTGGTTTTAAGACAAACTATCACAGCATTCCTATATCTTTGTATTTCTTTAATACATCAGGGAAGTCATCTTTATACAATACAGGATCTGCACGGAATTCAATACTCTTTAAAGGCATAGACTGATATATACGTGTAAACTGATTAATACAATCTGACCTCTCAATCATGTGACCAAGATCAGAGGACAACATCTCTGTGTTCACACACTCTGGACATTTGAATTTTTTCCTTGGTGTGACCTTGATAGCAGCCTTGCCTGTGACATTTGACATTAGAAAGTTCATGGCTATGTCCTCACAGTTCATGTGTTCATCTACCCATGTTTTCAGCTCGACAGGCATGGCATGGGTGTACAGGTAACTGAAATACTGAAAAACAACAGGACTGAGGTTAACTTATATATAGTATTTATATAGTATATATTGAAAATGTCTTCAGTTAAAAAAGAATGTATGGGTGAACATGCACAGAAATATTGAAAATAAGTTAATCTGTGTATAGTGGACACAAAAAGTTTATGACAATGTCTACACTGATGTCGGCATGTTACACCACTGTCCCAGGTTAGGAGGAGGGTTGGGATCCCGCTAACATGTTTAACCCTGCCACATTCTGTATGTATGTGCCTGTCCCAAGTCAGGAGCCTGTAATTCAGTGGTTGTCGTTTGTTTATGTGTTACATATTTGTTTTTCGTTCATTTTTTGTACATAAATTAGGCCGTTTTTTTTCTCGTTTGAATTGTTTTACATTGTCATTTCTGGGCCTTTTATAGCTGACTGTGCGGTATGGGCTTTGCTCATTGTTGAAGGCTGTATGGTAACCTATAGTTGTTAATTTCTGTGTCATTTGGTCTCTTGTGGAGAGTTGTCTCATTGGCAATCATATCACATCTTCTTTTTTATATGACATAAGTATATGGGTAACTAAAACACTGCTAAATAGCATGTTAACCAGTATATGATAGACAGAAAGTTCATGGAAAAGTTTTCAGTTCTGAAAGAATGCATGGGTGTAAATGCCATTGAAATACTGAAAAAATAATACCGGTTATAACATGTAGATAGTAGGCATTTCACTTTATATAACTGAAATACATACTATAATGGTCATGATAAAAATAAATCAGCTTTATCATGATATCACTGGTCAAATGTTAAACTTACTTATAATTACTTTTGTGTAAATTGTGTTTTTGTACCACTGGAAATGTACTTTTGTTGTTGGACTGTTCTTAAGTTAACCAACTGCTGTTCCTTATCCTATGTTGGTGCTTTCAAAGGTTTTATATATTTGACCTCTTAAACTCATGATTTGATCTTTCCTGAAGACAAATATACCAAAAACTGTGTTGGTTACAGTTTGATCACTATTATGTATTTACTTTACTCCGTCAATAAATCTGTCCCCTTACTTACTTATAATCCAAATTATTATAAAATCCTATGTATTTATTTGTTACCTTGTGATAGAAAGCTGCCCCTGTAAGGACCATTGAGATGTCATTGGTCCACTCAGATTCATACTTCCATTTGTTTGTAGTGTTATCCAATAGATGAACTCTAGAGGGAAATCCTACCAGTCTGTCAGGAAATTCTCTCCAAACCTATAAATAGAACAAATATTATTGGTTCATAAATACTCTGATTTGTTATGTCATCTAAAAGATACACTTCTCAAAATCAAGAGTGCACAATCTGAAATGTCTGGCCTGCTTTACTGATCATTGATTTTATGTTGAAAGTCTTGATGATAAAGGTTTTACTGATCATTGATTTTATGTTGAAAGTCTTGATGATAAAGGCTTTACTGATCATTGATTTTATGTTGAAAGTCTTGATGATAAAGGCTTTACTGATCATTGATTTTATGTTGAAAGTCTTGATGATAAAGGTTTTACTGATCATTGATTTTATGTTGAAAGTCTTGATGATAAAGGTTTTACTGATCATTGATTTTATGTTGAAAGTCTTGATGATAAAGGTTTTACTGATCATTGATTTTATGTTGAAAGTCTTGATGATAAAGGTTTTACTGATCATTGATTTTATGTTGAAAGTCTTGATGATAAAGGTTTTACTGATCATTGATTTTATGTTGAAAGTCTTGATAATAAAGGTTTTACTGATCATTGATTTTATGTTGAAAGTCTTGATGATAAAGGTTTTAATATAAGTATCCCACAAACTCAACATTTTTACAGATCCATGACAATGAAGTCAAGGTCAGATATTATAAGTTATATGGTTCGCTACTGACCCCCTACGGATCCATAGAGGGTTAGTAAAATCCATAGGGGGTGAGGCCGAAGGCCGAATCTCCTATGGTTTTTATTCACCCTCTATGGATCCGTAGGGGGTCAGTAGTTAACCGTATAACGAATTTATCGCCCGCGAGACTTTTTTCCGCTGTGTTTTGTAGAGAAATAAACAATTAAACACACAACATTAATAGATGACGTCACTATTAACAGTAGACGTGACGTCATGAACCCCTATGAAATTTACTAACCCCTACAGATCCATAGGGGGTCACCACGTGACGGCGTTAAACCAATCACAACGTGATAATTTACCGGCGGTGCGATAAATCCTTTCAGACAGACATGTACACCTTACAATTATTCCATATACCAAATATAGTTGAACTTTTGCTTATGGTAATTGAAAAAAACAGACCAAAAACAAAAGCTTAACATGGACCAAAGAACCACGAAAATAGGTCAAGATCAGATGATACCCGCCAGACAGACATGAACACATAACAATTATTCCATACACCAAATAAAGCTGACCTATTAATATTAGTATTTGAAAAAACTGACCAAAACATAACTTATTTATGATTTTTTTTTGGGGCGGAAGGGGATTTGGTCCAAAAAATGTATTTACCACATTGTTAAACATTTATAATGCCGTCTAAAATAGAAGACAGGAAACGTGACAATTGAGGGAGCAGATAAGTATAGATTATCAGGTTTTCTACCCATTGATATATATATAGTAAATTATCAGCCACGATAAACATAACGTAGAAAAACAAAAGACTAAGCAACACAAGCCAAACAAAAACTGTGGCTTATCTCAGTTGGTCAGCAAGGCTAAGCAGATCCTGCTACACATGTGGCACCTGTTGTGTTAAATTTCATTTTTAACAATGTGAAATTAAAATTATTTTTGTTTCAGAAAATCTGGAATTCAAGTGTTTACGGATTCAAATAAATAATTAATTGTCCCCGAATAGGAATCACTTTTGCAACAAGCCATTAATCACCTGTCTAACATCAGATTTTAATTCATATAATACTGGTATGCATTATTTGCAATGGTCCTACTTTGTAGAATTTTAGGTTAAACCGGCTTATACACAAAACCTGGTCCTTCCATTTTGAACAGACCTATTCTTTCACTCCATACATTAAAATACAAATATTGAGCTGTAAAAAGTTATTATTCTCACAATCTTCATGCATATATCTTTATTTCCTTACATTTCTTTCTGTACATCTGTACAATGTGGTCAAATAATGAGAAATAAAACAAATTTAAGGGAAAGTGAATTTATATTCTATGAATTCATACAAATAACAAAGAAATAAAAGAAAATCCTACATTTTCTCTGTCTGTAGGTGGTCCATCACTGTATGATACTAGATACTATTGAGACTAAACATTTTTTGCCTGAGTGGACATGGGCCATGAACATCTTTAATAATGAAGTGAGTTAACCAAATACTTGTCTTGTATAAATTTGATCAGTATAGTCATTATTTAAATGTTAATACATACTTCATAGGCAAACTCAAGTTCATCTGCTGTTAACATGACAATATCATCATCTAAAGCTAATATACATTCTGTCTGGATCTCATCATATGGGAAAAATCTGTAACAGATAAATCATGTGTAACAGTGGACAGAAGAAAAGTCCTTACATAAACAGATTTGGGTTCTATGGATGAAATCTGTACAAGAGCTATATTTTCTGATTAACTCATTTTTCATTCACCCTTTACAAATAATGCATCTTAGGAAATCTGCATAAATATATTTTTTGGTAAAGGCTATTTAATTTCATAACGAATAAAAGAATATAAATACTTGTTACTTACCGATTACTCATTTTATTTTTCCTTGTCTTGACAAATTTCAATGGTTTACCAATATCTGGCCAGGATGTCACTGTTAAATAGGAAAAGGTTTTATTAACACTACAGAAACACCATGGGTACATTAGCAGGATGTCACTAATTAATAGGAAAAGGTTTTATTAACACTACAGAAACACCATGGTACATTAGTTCAATCTTAAATGGTTTATAGTAGAAGAAACAGATTTTTGTAAATGTTAAATTTTAGGATTAAAACAACATACAAGTATAATATGTCTTCCAGTTTCTAAATACATTTGATATTTTCCTACAAAGTACTTATATTGTAGATGTAGTGGTATATATTGTAGACGTAATGGTATATATTGTAGATGTAATGGTATATATTGTAGACGTAATGGTATATATTGTAGACGTAATGGTATATATTGTAGACGTAATGGTATATATTGTAGACGTAATGGTATATATTGTAGATGTAATGGTATATATTGTAGACGTAATGGTATATATTGTAGATGTAATGGTATATATTGTAGATGTAACGGTATATATTGTAGATGTAATGGTATATATTGTAGACGTAATGGTATATATTGTAGATGTAATGGTATATATTGTAGACGTAATGGTATATATTGTAGATGTAATGGTATTGTTTGGTTACTGTTTTATTGACATATGAACATTTGAAGTTAGTTACTGATTAGTAATCTGCACAGGTATATTGGTATACTTTTATATTATAACAGTGGTGTACTTCCTTTAAGATGCCTTTTCTTCTCTTATCATTGAAATTGTTCTATAAATCACAGGAATTAATATCCTTATTCAGAATATTTTGTGATATGTATGTATTTATGAACCTTTTGTGTCTGATATACAGATTATCTTTTCTTATCTTAAGATTTACATGCAAATTCATCTGACATTTATCTTTTTGTGCTCTGTTGCTGTCTAAGTGTTTGCTTTTTATCGGCAATTTGTACTTTTTTATCCTTTGATCTTACTGCCTTATATTTTTTTTATTGAGGACAGGACGTGATAATCAAAAATATTAGGCAAGGCCTGTAATATGAGATTCCAAATATGAGAACAATCTAAACTATATCTCATACAGTTTGAGCCACATGTTTTCAGGATTTATCTCATTCAGTTTGAGCCATGTGTTTTCAGGATTTGTCTCATTCAGTTTGAGCCATGTGTTTTCAGGATTTGTCTCATTCAGTTTGAGCCATGTGTTTTCAGGATTTGTCTCATTCAGTTTAAGCCATGTGTTTTCAGGATTTGTCTCATTCAGTTTGAGCCATGTGTTTTCAGGATTTGTCTCATTCAGTTTGAGCCATGTGTTTTCAGGATTTATCTCATTCAGTTTGAGCCATGTGTTTTCAGGATTTGTCTCATTCAGTTTGAGTCATGTGTTTTCAGGATTTATCTTAAGACTTGTTCCTATGGAGTTATAGATACTTACTCGGAGGTGGTGACTTTTTCTGATTGTTCCACACAACCACAACCTTTGCCAGACTTGGAACTTTAGCCACAGAATGTATTACTTTGAACAATGATTCAAGTCTGTCGTATGTCAGTATTACTGCTGTAAATCCCTGGGCACTGGGAGGTCGCAATGGCAGAAATAATGGGTTCTTTAGGGTTTTCTGTAAAGGAAATAGGATGTCTATGTATATTATCTTGCATTAATAAAAAGAAATAAATCTCTAGCCACATGGAGGATACAATATCTGTAAAGGACAATTAATGTAAAATGTTGGAACAACTTTCTTAATTTGTAAAAAAGTAATATGTTTTGAAACAAGACATAATATATATTTCTTTGGGTATAAACACAGTGAATCATAAAACTGAGGATTGAAATATTTCATTAATTGAGTTCAAAATGCTTGAATAGGAGCTTCAAAATAAAGAACTGCACTTTGTGAGGGGAGAGGGGCTGTATAAAAACAGTATAGTTACAATCCACTTTGTGAGGGGGAGGCTTGTATAAAATCCACTACCTTGTGAGGGGAAGGGGGTGTATACAAATAATATAGCTACAATCTACCTTGTGAGGGGAGAGGTGGTGTATAAAAACAGTATAGCTACAACCAACTTTGTGAGGGAGGAGGGGGTGCATAAAAACAGTATAGTTACAACCCTCTTTGTGAGGGAAGAGAGGGTGTATACAAACAGTATAGCTACAATCTACCTTGTGAGGGCAGAGGGGGTGTATACAAACAGTATAGCTACAATCTACTTTGTGAAGGGAGGGGATGTATAAAAACAGTAAAGCTACATTCTACTTTGTGAAGGGGGAGGGGGTATACAAAAGTATAGCTATAACCTACCTTGTGAGGGGGAGGGGGTATACAAACAGTATAGCTATAATCTACTTTGTGCGGGGGAGGGGGTATACAAAAGTATAGCTATAACCTACCTTGTGAGGGGGAGGGGGTATACAAACAGTATAGCTATAATCTACTTTGTGAGGGGGAGGGGGTATACAAACAGTATAGCTATAATCTACTTTGTGAGGGGGAGGGGGTATACAAACAGTATAGCTTTAATCTACTTTGTGAGGGGGAGGGGGTATACAAACAGCATAGCTACAATCTACTTTGTGAGGGGGGGGGGGGGGGGGAGGGTATACAAACAGTATAGCTACAATCCACTTTGTGAGGGGGGGGTATACAAACAGTATAGCTTTAATCCACTTTGTGAGGGGAAAGGGGGTGTATACAAACAGTATAGCTACAATCTACTTTGTGAGGGGGAGGGGGTATACAAACAGCATAGCTACAATCTACTTTGTGAGGGGAAAGGGGGTGTATACAAACAGTATAGCTTTAATCCACTTTGTGAGGGGAAAGGGGGTGTATACAAACAGTATAGCTACAATCTACTTTGTGAGGGGGAGGGTGTATACAAACAGTATAGCTACAATTTACTTTGTGAGGGGGAGGGGGTATACAAACAGCATAGCTACAATCTACTTTGTGAGGGGAAAGGGGGTGTATACAAACAGTATAGCTTTAATCCACTTTGTGAGGGGAAAGGGGGTGTATACAAACAGTATAGCTTTAATCCACTTTGTGAGGGGAAAGGGGGTGTATACAAACAGTATAGCTACAATCTACTTTGTGAGGGGAAAGGGGGTGTATACAAACAGTATAGCTACAATCTACTTTGTGAGGGGGAGGGTGTATACAAACAGTATAGCTACAATCCACTTTGTGAGCAAGGAGGGGAGGTATAAAAAGCTACATAGATAATGCAACACATTTGAGTGGAATAATTTGATTAAGAAACTCTTTCCAGCACAAACAAGTATACCTCACTATATAAACAGGCAACTTAAAAGGGTTTTAAAAAACCACTTCGTCTGCATTATCACACATTTGGATTCTCAATTATGACAAAAGTTGTAGGATCTTATACGTAGAAAGGGGAAAATCTGTCTCATTTCCTTTTGCCAAAGGCAAGCTGGTATAAAATTATTTTGCTATCGGTAGTGTTGTCATAGCAACCTTACCGTATTTGGCATGTCATTCCATTCTTCATATGACTTTCCAGCATAAGGAAAAACTCTGTCATTAATTATTCGCAATGTTGTCAAGGCAATAGCTTTTGGTGAACTGAAATATTTCTGCCATATAAAGGTAACTTGTTGTCGTAGTTCATATATCTTTTCTTGTGAATAGGATTCTAATATCTGTATCAAGTTCTCCAATTCTTCTTCTAAAACAGTCACAGCTATTCTGAAATACAATAACATATGTACATTAACAGCTATTCTGTAACACAATAACATATGCACATTAACAGCTATTCTGTAATACAATAACATATGCACATTGACAGCTATTCTGTAATACAATAACATATGCACTTTAATAGCTATTCTGTTATACAATAACATATGCACTTTAATAGCTATTCTGTTATACAATAACATATGCACATTAACAGCTATTCTGTAATACAATAACATATGCACTTTAATAGCTATTCTGTTATACAATAACATATGCACTTCAATAGCTATTCTGTTATACAATAACATATGCACTTTAACATCTATTCTGTTATACAATAAAATAAACACATTGATTAACAGCTATTCTGTTATACAATAACATATACACATTAATAGCTATTCTGTTATACAATAACATATGCACATTAACAGCTATTCTGTTACATACAATAACATATGCACATTAACAGCTATTCTGTTATACAATAACAACTTCTATTTGCATTAATTAGTATTAAATAATGCTCTTCATATCAGGAGCATTCTTCAAGAAATCTCTGTTATTTTGGTTTGTTTTTTAGTACTGTTATTCCTTAAATATCAGCTGCATTTGTTATTTTTTAAATATCTGCTGCCACACAATATAAACTCCTCTTTTTGAACTTAAGATATAACTGTATTGTATTTCGAGTTTACCTGGCGACGTGTAGCGGAGACAGGTAAACGAATATTTGCGACAGTAAAACTACTGATTGACGTCCGCAAAGCTTCAAATACAAAACAGTTATCTCTATTCTAATGCAAAATAAACAAATCATTAAATTTTAGTCATTATTTCATTGTAAAATTTTCATTAAATGAAAATTCCGCGAAATGATTTTATCTAGCTTCCGGCTTCAAACGTAAACATCGGGAGATTTCTTGTTTCTTGTCCGCCTCAAAATGTAATAAAATTTGATAAAAAGATTTCTAGGTGCAAAATGTGTTTTATTTTTTGCGTACTATTGGAGAAATCACATGTCAATACATTCCAGAATTCAGATTTAGAGTAGAAGAAGTAGAGCTCCTGAAATTACGTACATAATGACCAATAATTTGATATGTTGATACATTTTTTTTAACGGTTGGCAGTCTCATAGAAGCACATATTGTGAGCTCGACTTGACTGGGTAAAATGAAAGACTGTAATATTGATATAAGCTGCTTTTCTGGAAGGCATGTGACATTTTTGAGTAAGAGCAAAGACAGGACAACTCAAACTCAAAATAAGATAGAGTGTCCATGTACAATCATTTATCTTCTTAGGGACGATCACCTTGTGTCAGAGCTACAACATTAAACATTCAACTTCATGTATCATTTAGTATAGTCATCAAACTGATATGTACTGATAGTAATGCAACTTTATACAAAATATCATTGATCTATCACAAGTAGTTCTTATCAAACTGACTTAAGCAGAAAACTTAACATTGAAAATTGTTGATTAATCCAAAGTCACTGGACCATGACCTAGGGGGTAGGGCCTCAAAATAGTCATCAAACTGATATTTAGTAATTCCACTTTATATTTAATATCAATGATCTATCACAAGTAGCTCCTATCAAACTATCTTAAGCAGAAAATTTAAAATAGTTGATGCCGTCGCCGTCACCATCACTGTCGCCGGAAAAGCAATCCCTAAGTCTCCCTGTCTGGGACTATCGTTGCAGGCGAGACAAAAAGCAAAGGAACAGCACTGATGTTCATATCTAATTAATTTGTAATTGTTCTGTATATTATATTAAGCAGCTGTCAGTGTCAATCAATCAATCTTCTAGCTTCACATCTGAAAAATTCAATCAAAATAACTCCCTTTAAATGGATAAGAGGGGTTATAAGTGGTCTTTATACCAATGAAATATCACACATGTTTTAATCGTACCTTTTCCAGTCAAGAACTTCTGAAAATGGTAGAATATAGCCATCAGCTACAATAACTGGAATACAGCCTGCTGACATCACATCATATAAAGCTGGCTGGCCAATCCTGGCTCCTCTTACAACCAAACAGAAAGTAGAATCCTAGAAAAGAAGAACAAATTAAACAATAAAGCTGGGTGGCCAATCCTGGCTCCTCTTAAAACCAAACAGAAAGTAGAATCCTAGAAAAGAAGAACAAATTAAACAATAAAGCTGGCTAGCCAAGCCTCAAAAAATGATCCTGGCTCCTCTTAAAACCAAACAGAAAGTAGAATCCTAGAAAAGAAGAACAAATTATTAAAACAATAAAGCTGGCTGGCTAATCCTGGCTTCTCTTACAACCAAACAGAAAGTAGAATCATAGAAAAAAAGAACAAACTAAACAATAAAGTTGGCTGGCCAATCCTGGCTTCTCTTACAACCAAACAGATAGTAGAATCCTAGTAAAGAAGAACAAACTAAACAATTAAGTCAATCCTGTCTCCCATTATAACCAAACAGAATGAAGAATCCTAAAAAAGAAGAACAAATTACAGTCAATTTCTTAATGCATGCAGAGTAAGAGTTTGGTTGGCTTGCTTGCTTTGTTTGTATTAATGTTTGCTCAAGCATTGTAATTAAGATTGACATCTGCAAACAATATAAGTAGGTGGAGTTAAACCTGTATATAGGTAAATTTGATTATTTCATAGTGTGCAATCAAATTTAAGTATAAAGTATACAAGTTTAACTCTGCCTTTATATATTGTTTTTAGATATTAATCTTAATTACAATGCTTGAGCAAACATTAATATAAACAAAGCAAGCAAGCCAACCAAACCTTTAACTTGCTAGCATTATGATAACAGCTGTAAACAATAAATTTGGCTGGCCAATCCTGGCTCCTCTCAGAACCGAACAGAATGTAGAAACCTAGAAAAGAAAAACAAATTAAACATTAAAATTGGCTGGCCAATCCTGGCTCCTCTTAGCCTGAAAAAAAGAATGAATTGAACAGAATACAGAACTTCTGAACAGGTAAAGCCATCAGATACAAGTGTTGGTGTAAAGCAATTAGCTACAAGTACTGGTGTACAACCATCAGATACAAGTACTGGTGTACAGCCATCAGATATAAGAACTGGTGTACAGGCATCAGATACAAGTACTGGTGTACAGCCATCAGATACAAGTACTGGTGTACAGCCATCAGATACATGTACTGGTATAAAGTCTTTAGATACAATAACTGGTGAACAGCCATCAGATACAAGTTCTGGTGTACAGCCAAGATCACATGAAATAAAGCCCGCTAACAAAAATCTGGGAATGGTAAAATAAAACCAATGATAATATATACAAACTTTTGTCATCACATGAAACAAAGCATGCATAATTAACTGGTAAATAATGCTATAAATAGATATAAGACTGTGGAATTTGTGTTGGTATGGAATCTGATGAAAGTCCTTTTTGGTACTTTTCTTAGCCTGCCAAAATTGGATTTCAATCAAAATATATTGAGTCATAAAGAATTCTCATTCTCAAACTTTTTTAAATTATCCATAACTCTTAAAAATAAAAGTTGTAAATATCTCAAGCCTTATTGCTTATCATACTAATATTGAACAATTTACCTGGAGAATCTGAGGATAATCATATGCCACATTTTCTTTACAACGTCTAGAGAAATTCCATGTTCGTTCATCAGTAGGACACTTCTGGATGAATAAAAACCTGGGTTCCTGTTTCTCTAATTCATGTAAAACATCTCTGTATTCTTTATGAAGACTGGTCTGAGAGGATATCAGCAAATATGTTCTTTTCTCTCTGATAATTTAATTGTATATAGATTTGATATTAATAGTGGCATCTATGCAAAATTCTAACTAACTAATAACTTTATTAACAAATATAATACTTATATTGCTAATATTCATTTATTAAACATCAGCCATTCCATATATCATGAATTGTTCATGTTTTGTTTTGTATTGTGATGTCATGAATATTAACAAAACATATTTTCATTTGACAAAGAATTTAAAATTCTGTAACTGACAATTTTCCATGGAAATAAGATGTGCCAAGGCTAACACAACTGCATACCAAATATCTTTGATTTATCATTATCGTTTCCCCTTTAATCAACTGACCTGACCAAAAATTTTAACAGGTATGCTATGTAAAAGTTTCAAAGTCAATGGACAATGACTGAGAGGCCGAGTCAAATTATAACATGTGCCATGCTTAAACAACTGCCTACCAAATATCGTTGACTAACCATTAGTGGTTACACCTGAGTCTCGCTTCAGTGACTTTTCAAAATATCAATTTTTGAAAACATGTGTAACAATGTGACAAAAAAGTCATATCATTGGCCACTAACACTGGTTGTATCATGTGTCACAATGTGACAAGAAAGTCATATCATTGGGCACTAACACTGGTTGTAACATGTGTCACAATGTGACAAAAAAGTCATATCATTGGCCACTAACACTGGTTGCATCATGTGTCACAATGTGACAAAAAAGTCATATCATTGGGCAATAACACTGGTTGTATCATGTGTCACAATGTGACAAAAAAGTCATATCATTGGGCACTAACACTGGTTGTATCATGTGTCACAATGTGACAAAAAAGTCATATCATTGGGCACTAACACTGGTTGTATCATGTGTCACAATGTGACAAAGAAGTCATATCATTGGGCACTAACACTGGTTGTAACATGTGTCAAAATGTGACAAAAGTCATATAAGTGGGCACTAACACTGGTTATAACATGTGTCACAATGTGACAAAGTGTCGTATCATTGGGCACTAACACGGTTGTAACATGTGTCACAATGTGTCAAAAAAGTCAAATCATTGGGCACTAACACTGGTTGTAACATGTGTCACAATGTAAAAAAGAAGTCATATCATTGGGCACTAACACTGGTTGTATCATGAGTCACAATGTGACAAAAAAGTCATATCATTGTGCACTAACACTGGTTGTATCATGTGTCACAATGTGACAAAAAGTCATATCATTGGCCACTTACACTGGTTGTATCATGTGTCACAATGTGACAAAAAGTCATATCATTGGGCACTAACACTGGTTGTATCAGGTGTCATAATGTGACAAAAAAAGTCATATCATTGGGCACTAACACTGGTTGTAACATGTGTCACAACGTGACAAAAAAGTCATATACTTTGACCTATAATTGTTAACTTTTTACACATTGTGACTTGGATGGAGTGTTGTCTCATTGGCACTCATATCACATCTTCTTATTTCTATATCATTGGGCACTAACACTGGTTGTATCATGTGTCACAATGTGACAAAAAGTCATATAAGTGGGCACTAACACTGGTTGTAACATGTGTCACAATGTGACAAAGTGTCATATCATTGGGCACTAACACGGTTGTAACATGTGTCACAATGTGACAAAAAGTCATATCATTGGGCACTAACACTGGTTGTAACATGTGTCACAATGTAAAAAAGAAGTCATATCATTGGGCACTAACACTGGTTGTATCATGTGTCACAATGTAAAAAAGAAGTCATATCATTGGGCACTAACACTGGTTGTAACATGTGTCACAATGTGACAAAAAAGTCATATCATTGGGCATTTACACTGGTTGTATCATGTGTCACAATGTGTCAAAAAAGTCAAATCATTTGGCACTAACACTGGTTGTAACATGTGTCACAATGTGACAAAAAGTCATATCATTGGGCACTAACACTGGTTGTATCATGTGTCACAATGTGACAAAAAGTCATATCATTGCACACTTACACTGGATGCAACATGTGTCACAATGTGACAAAGTGTCATATCATTGGGCACTAACACGGTTGTAACATGTGTCACAATGTGACAAAAGTCATATCATTGGGCACTAACACTGGTTGTAACATGTGTCACAATATGAAAAAGAAGTCATATCATTGGGCACTAACACTGGTTGTATCATGTGTCACAATGTGACATAAAGTCATATAAGTGGGCACTAACACTGGTTGTAACATGTATCACAATGTGACAAAGTGTCATATCATTGGGCACTAACACGGTTGTAAAATGTATCACAATGTGTCAAAAAAGTCAAATCATTGGGCGCTAACACTGGTTGTAACATGTGTCACAATGTAAAAAAGAAGTCATATCATTGGGCACTAACACTGGTTGTTTCATGTGTCACAATGTGACAAAAAGTCATATCATTGGACACTAACACTGGTTGTAACATGTGTCAAAATGTGACAAAAAGTCATATAAGTGGGCACTAACGCTGGTTGTAACATGTGTCACAATGTGACAAAGTGTCATATCATTGGGCACTAACACGGTTGTAACATGTGTCACAATGTAATAAAGAAGTCATATCATTGGCCACTTACACTGGTTGTATCATGTGTCACAATGTGACAAAAAGTCATATAAGTGGGCACTAACACTGGTTGTAACATGTGTCACAATGTGAAAAAGTGTCATATCATTGGGCACTAACACGGTTGTAACATGTGTCACAATGTGTCTAAAAAGTCAAATCATTGGGCACTAACACTAGTTGTATCATGTGTCACAATGTGACAAAAAGTCATATCATTGGGCACTAACACTGGTTGTATCATGTGTCACAACGTGACAAAAAGTCATATCATTGGGCACTAACACTGGTTGTATCATGTGTCACAATGTGACAAAAAGTCATATCATATCATTGGACACTTACACTGGCTGTAACATGTGTCACAATGTGACAAAAAGTCATATCATTGGACACTTACACTGGCTGTAACATGTGTCACAATGTGACAAAAAGTCATATCATTGGCCACTAACACTGGTTGTAACATGTGTCACAATGTAAAACAGAAGTCATATAATTGGCCACTAACACTGGTTGTATCATGTGTCACAATGTGACAAAAAGTCATATAAGTGGGCACTAACACTGGTTGTAACATGTGTCACAATGTGACAAAAAGTCATATCATTGGGCACTTACACTGGTTGTATCATGTGTCACAATGTGACAAAAAGTCATATCATTGGGCACTAACACTGGTTGTATCATGTGTCACAATGTGACAAAAAGCAATGTCATATCATTGGACACTTACACTGGCTGTAACATGTGTCACAATGTGACAAAAAGTCATATCATTGGACACTAACACTGGTTGTAACATGTGTCACAATGTAAAAAAGAAGTCATATCATTGGGCACTAACACTGGTTGTATCATGTGTCACAATGTGACAAAAAGACATATAAGTGGACACTAACACTGGTTGTAACATGTGTCACAATGTGACAAAAAGTCATATCATTGGGCACTAACACTGGTTGTATCATGTGTCACAATGTGACAAAAAGTCATATCATTGGGCACTAACACTGGTTGTATCATGTGTCACAATGTGACAAAAAGTCATATCATATCATTGGACACTTACACAGGCTGTAAAATGTGTCACAATGTGACAAAAAGTCATATCATTGGATACTTACACTGGCTGTTACATGTGTCACAATGTGACAAAAAGTCATATCATTGGCCACTAACACTGGTTGTAACATGTGTCACAATGTAAAAAAAGAAGTCATATCATTGGGCACTCACACTGGTTGTATCATGTGTCACAATGTGACAAAAAGTCATACAAGTGGGCACTAACACTGGATGTAACATGTGTCACAATGTGACAAAGTGTCATATCATTGGGCACTTACACTGTTGTAACATGTGTCACAATGTGTCAAAAAAGTCAAATCATTGGGCACTAACACTGGTTGTATCATGTGTCACAATGTGACAAAAATTCATATAAGTGGGCACTAACACTGGTTGTAACATGTGTCACAATGTGACAAAAAGTCATATCATATCATTGGACACTTACACTGGCTGTAACATGTGTCACAATGTGACAAAAAGTCATATCATTGGATAGTTACACTGGCTGTTACCTGTGTCACAATGTGACAAAAAGTCATATCATTGGCAACTAACACTGGTTGTTACATGTGTCACAATGTAAAAAAAGAAGTCATATCATTGGGCACTAACACTGGTTGTATCATGTGTCACAATGTGACAAAAAGTCATACAAGTGGACACTAACACTGGATGTAACATGTGTCACAATGTGACAAAGTGTCATATCATTGGGCACTTACACGGTTGTAACATGTGTCACAATGTGTCAAAAAAGTCAAATCATTGGGCACTAACACTGGTTGTAACATGTCACAATGTGACAAAAAGTCATATCATTGGCCACTAACACTGGTTGTAACATGTGTCACAATGTAAAAAAGAAGTCATATCATTGGGCACTAACACTGGTTGTATCATGTGTCACAATGTGACAAAAATTCATATAAGTGGGCACTAACACTGGTTGTAACATGTGTCACAATGTGACAAAAAGTCATATCATTGGGCACTAACACTGGTTGTATCATGTGTCACAATGTGACAAAAAGTCACATCATATCATTGGACACTTACACTGGCTGTAACATGTGTCACAATGTGACAAAAAGTGATATCATTGGACACTTACACTGGCTGCTACATGTGTCACAATGTGACAAAAAGTCATATCATTGGGCACTTACACGGTTGTAACATGTGTCACAATGTGTCAAAAAAGTCAAATCATTGGGCACTAACACTGGTTGTATCATGTGTCACAATGTGACAAAAAGTCACATCATATCATTGGACACTTACACTGGCTGTAACATGTGTCACAATGTGACAAAAAGTGATATCATTGGACACTTACACTGGCTGCT